AAAAAAAGAAATACGAATTAAATTTTATCTAATCTTAATTTGTTTATATCAAAGATCGAAAAAATATATATATTTTTTAATTTAGTGTTTATGTTATTCTCATATAAATCATCGAAATATTATCTGTGAATTGTTTTTTACACACACATCTATGTACTGTACACACGCATAAACAGCCACACCTATAGGGTGAATCGAAAGTCTGTTAACCGATATGTATTTTAAATACTGTATTTATATATTATAAATTCGTTATCCAATATATACAGTATATACGAGTATAAATACATATATTGGTTAACTGACTTTCGAAAGTTATACTGTATATACTTTAATAAATACATAAACTGTGCATCCTATAATTATTACTTGAGATATAAAAATGTGCATTTTATTAAACAAATGCTGTATTATAATAAACTTAATAATTAATTCAAGCCCCGTAACTATTCACTTATAGTCAAACTTCTGAACAACAACCGCTAACGAGAATTTAAAAACACATAGAAGTGGCCATTGATTGGAGGTTCGACTGTATTATCTAAATTTTAAAAATTCTATAAAGGATTTATAACAACAAAAAATTTTAAAAAATTATCAAAAAAATCTTTTAAGATAATCGTAATTTCTATATAAATGTTTGTAAATTTCCTGTTGAAATTATAATGAATCACAACAATAATTGTCGGTCAAAGTTAAAAGTTGGATAAATTGCAGCAAATTCTATTTGATTATTGATAAAAGTATTATCACTATTTACTGATTTTTCTTTTTTTAGTTATTTAGAACCGAACGTGTAATATTTTCTTCATTGTCATTTTTCAGCGTAAATTCTCTCTTTAGATATTTGTAAGTATTATTTTTTGTTTATATAATTATTTAGAGGAGTAGACTAAACATATCTGTACACAACCCTCACAAAATTTTCTGAGTTAACTCAAATTCGAACCCTTTCAGAGGGGATGATCGAAGACCTAAAGACATCAACTTGCAGCTCTGTGAATCCGGGTTCGAATTTAAGTCGACTGAGTTAAATTCGAGTTAATCGGGTTTCATCGGACTCCATTGTCCCCATTGTATACTTGATTAGGTAATATATATCATTTATATTTATATAATTTATATATTATATTTAATTAATTTATTCAATCTTTACAGGGTGAGTCAGGAGGGGAGGGAAATAAGTTAGAAGTATGATACTATAGATCATTGTTAGAAAAAACTTTATATGATAATGGGTATAAATAGTTTTAAGATACAGCTGTTGACAGTTGACACAATAATAATGAATGATATACGAGTTATATTCACAACAAATGTTCAAAAATTGAACTGTTAACCTCAATACAATTTACAATCGAACTTTACAACCCTATCATTATCGGTGTATCCATCCGTTTCTGGAAGATGCTACGAGGCGTCTCAAATTTTGTCAACCGATACATAGTCATCGCCGATTAACTCGAATGAACGACACAGTATCTTCAGACAGAAGTTGTAAAGTGTATTGACGTTCACAATTCAATTTTTGAGCATTTCTTATGAACATAACGTGTATCATTCATTAATATTGCATGTGTGAGAAACTTTCAAGAGCTGTATCATTAAAACTACTGAGAATAATATCCATGTTCGTATGAAGTATTTTGCTTACAATGATCCATATTATCATCTCCCAACTTATTTCCCTCTTCTCCTGACTTACCCTGTATATACATATTTACATAAATGGTTATTGTTTATGTATACATACTCGAATGTTGTTTTTACAAAACTGTTTATATGAAATTGTATGAGGGGTATTTTTCCGGGAGGTATTACCCTTCCTAACTCCCCATTGATAGAAATCCTGGATGTACGGTACCAGTCCCAAATGGAGATACCAAATGCATTAAATTTGCCACAAAGTATCAAATCCAGATTTTGGAATGGTAGCCAGAGGGCCGAGGAATTAAGGTGCCAGCCTGGTGCTCTGAAGGACCCGGGATCCGAGTCCGACCAAGTCGAAAAACTCCACGAATTTATCAGGAAGTGCTCCGTCCAGATATTTTGGGCTCTGTCCCTCTCGCCATTGTGCATTTAACTGAACCTATAATGGTTTTCTTCGCCACAGAAACAGCTTAAAAACTTTGGGCAAAGTTTCAGATAAAAGGAGAGATTACATACTAAACAGGAAGTGTCCATATGAACAAGGGGGAGAGAATAGAATAAACAGGAAGTGAGTTACGACCATTACTAAATCCGTTATATGACATTAACTGCTCGTCATAATAGGAATTTTTCGTGTTTCTTTCTTTCCACTCTATGGGCCTTTTTTCCATGCCCATTATGGGTTTGGCCGCATTATTTTGTATTTTAATTAATAAATATTTTACCAAAAAAAATAAAAATAATGATAATTAGATTACATAAAAATCTGATATTTGTTTATAAATTATTTTAATGGATGCAGGAGAAAATATTATCAAGCGTATGAATCTTCTATCTCAATATATATTTAGATGAAAGATCGTGTGTTTGATAATAAGTATTTTTTCACATTTCTCTTATACAATATTTAGATGAAGTTATTCTTTCCAATGCACATTCATTTGATATATTTTTATTACAGATATATATCTGTAATATATACAATTCACAAGGAATGCATTTATATGTTGCGAGTTCACACATATATACGCTCATTAAATTAAAGATTAAATGTATTTATACTTTTATTCAATTCTTTTACTATGATACACTTTATGTGAACACTGTAATCGGCCAAAACAACTTGACAAAATAAAATTTTCTTCCTTCAATATTTTATAAAAGTGCAACGAACCCATAAATATTACAGTGTATATTTATTTTGAGTATCGGATATTATCAATAAAGAATTTAGAGATCAGACATGAATTTCACCCAGTTCTATTTATTATTATAATAATTTTTAGGAAATGTTTTCGTTTCATCATTCTTACCATTCCGAAACCCGATAAACACTGTGCAAATGTGCTACTACAGATAGTAAAAAATTTTGTAAGGCATATTGTTTCTAAAGATTTCTGAATCTGTTATTGGCGGTAACACTCATCATCCCTATCACTAATCTCGAAAATCATAAGCAATAAAAGCTTTTTTAAATTTTTAAAAATACAGTATACAAAAATTATTAATCATGCCTTTGCAATAATGGAAGAATGTCACACATTAGAAAATGTCTGCAAGTTCTGAAAAACTGTGTTTGTTTGTTTGTTGCAAAAGGAACTCTTTATTGTACATGACCACATGCGACATATGTATGCAGGAGAAGCAAGACATGTTACACTTCTTTCTTGGCCTGAGAGATCACTAGATTTATTATCCATTGAATATGCGAAAACATAATCGCTCAACTTACTTTTCATGCCAGACCACACTGAGACTCGTCTGCTGAAAATAACTTTTGGGACTGAACAGAGGTAGAACAGTTTCTCGTGATTCCTGCTTTTAGACGAACATATCAGAAACATTCATGCAGGATATTTTCCATTCAATGCAACAAATGCGGAGTTGCATTGAATGGAAAATATCATGTAACTGAGCGTATGTGCAAAGCGCAGTTACATTCAGAGCGAATTCAAACCGAGTGCAAAATTTTCAAAAAATAAAAAAAAAAACATTGTTCACTCATAACTTAATTAATTTTTTAACTTTTCTAACATAGGAATATGGAGTAACACAATATGAAAAGCTTGTCCCTATTTAGGTGTTAAGAAATCCGTAAAATATCACTCGGGCAGCCTGTTGATGAAGAAAATTGATCTATCTATATTCGGTTTATGGCGTCTGACGTCGCCTTCCGATCTCCAGGAACCCTCTCCATCTCTCTCTATCCATACACCATTCCTCTTTAATCCCTTTTTCACTTCATGCTAATTTTACTCCATCGTTTGTCCGGGTCTTCCTCTCTTTTTCCTTTTTCGTGGATTGTATTCCATTGACATTTTCGGGAGTCTCTCGTCACTCATTCTTTTAACATGTCCAAACTGTTTACTCTTTATTTCAATCCCATTAGGTCTTTAATTCTCTCGTTAATTATTCTTTCTCTTTTTGAAATTCTGCACGATCTTCTCAATGCATCCCTTTCAACCGTTGTTACTTTTCTCTTCTCTTCCCCAGCCATTCTCCATGCCTCCTCCCCGTATAACCGAATGCTTTTTATTTCTTGATCTAGTTACTTCTTCACTCCACCATATTCCATTTAATCTTTTAACTGCTCTCCTACTGTGAGGACCCGAACAGGGGTCGATTGAGAGGTCCGAATTATGGGTGTCGATTTAAAATAAAAAGCTCCTTTTCAGACGCTAAGGAAACGGATTAGGTGTCTCGATTAAACAATGCAATTGTTTTTTTTTCGTAAATTTGTTAAACAATGGAAACGGATAAATTCGAGGAAAATGCGACGAGAGAGAGGAATCATATTCAGTCGCAACGTTGACCTCTCCCGCGCCCTTCATTAGGTTTCGAATGGTCACCAGGTGACTATGAGAGACCAATGGAGAGGCGACGATGGTTAAGAAATCTATAAAACCGTGCGACTCAAGAAACAAAGGTTCTTGGTGCTCTCCTCTCCAGGATTTTTGTGATCCTACTTATCAACAGCGACCGATTCGTCAACTCCTGTGACTTACTGTCGCTCTCCCGTGACGTCGTGATTTGCACGGATTTGCCTTTCACCAGAGACGTTCGCCGAAGCTGTGCCGCACGCCCCGGGGCCGTCGATCTCAACGTACGGCATCGAAGGACCAAACGGAGAAAATCGGACACTTGAAGGAACTTTTAATTTGTTCCCCGAGCTGTGTTACGTTGAAAATTTGAAGAACGTTGTAAGAATCTTTTGTTATATAATAAACGGGTTAAAAATGGTAAACCTGTCTCAGAAAGTCATTCTGCGCCCACACGACAGAAAGAACCGCTCGGCTGTCGAAAAACCCTCACCCTAATCGGCTGACCTCACACTACCTTGTGCAAATCTTGTATAAATTTCTAATGTCTCTCTTCCATCTTGATGAATTTGTATTCCAAGATAATTGTAATGTTCACATCCCTCAATCTTTTCTCCTTTCAGTTCCTTGTCTGTTTTAGACCCTCCTATGCATAAATATTTTGTTTTACTCGTGTTTATATATAAACCTCCTTTAAAATATTCTTCTTTTAATTTTCTTGTCATGTATTCTAGATCATCTTTGTTCTAAAAGTTGTTTAAAAGTTTTTTTTTCTCATCAAAACTGCATACATAATGGCCTCCAAATAACAGCCATATTTTATGTTCCCGTCAGTGGCCGTTGTTCAGAGATTTGACTGTATTGCGTTCTTTTATTAATTAATATAAAGTTTGTGAAAAAATTTAAAAAATACTTTTACTTGACATTTTCCAACTTTTTAGAATGCTACCAAGTGGCCGAGCGAATTAAACCACTAAACACTGATAGAGCGCAGGTTCGCACCTAGCCACGTGGGGTTCGAATTACTCAGGTTTTTTTCGTGTATTCATGGACCAAAATGGAGGCCAACTTCTGATAGAAAGGCCTGACGGAAGCTGTATTATTCCCTTCGTAGATTGCTCGTGTGTTGCGTTACCTAATTCCATTATTCCAATGTAAATTTTTAGTATAAAAGTTTGAATAAAAATATAAAGATAAAATATATTTTAAAATATTCTTTACTGAAACAAAATGATAAATTTTCTTTTATAGAAATAAGTTATCTAAAACTTCCTTTAAAGATAACGAATTAGTCACAATTTATTTACCCGAATTTATTTAATTTTTGACAGAATTCCAAGAGTAAAAGTAATTTATCAGCGAGATAATAGTTAAAAGGATATGCATTCATCCACAAAAGATCTATTGAATTTTGCAAATTCTGCATCCGACAACATCAAATCCATCCTTTGCAAACCCTCACAACATAAAAGGAAAGTGAATCATAGGAATTTTCTACGTAAACAAATTCGAAGATTCAAAATGAATTCCGAATTTCAAATGAAGACCAAAAACTATTTACACAAAGAAAAATCAAATGAATCTATTGAACAGTTATTGAGCAATGAGAAATTAACAAGTAAAGAGAATTGTAATCATCATCATCATCATCAAGATGAAATTCTTCCTGAAAATTCGACTCAAACGCATACAGTAATGAGTAATTATCCTTCCTGTGTTTATGATTATCATTCTCTTTATGAAAATGATAATGAATTGTTTAATGAAGATAAGCAAAATCAATTATTCATCCCCTCCATTACTATAGATTCATTAAGAAGAGAAGAATGGGGCTATATTGATAGCATTGTTTCGTCCAGATTATGATATTCTTGCATTTAAAATATCTTTTGATGTCTTAATTACAAATATATGTAATAATTATAATTAAAATTTTGAGTATAATGGTATAAGGTAGTTCAAAAATAATTATATCCATTATTATATCTTATCATGACGATCAACGTAATATTCTTTTAGATATTTTGATATTTGTGTTTTCTTTAGTGAAAAATTTGGTTTATATCACCATTTTAACAGGTGATTAGATGCAATTAATACTTTTTTAATACTGTGATATAAAAAATATACCATTCCTTATAGTGGAATTACAATAAATTTTCACATTGCCATTTAATAATTGTTTCTTGTGTGCTTTGTGTGCTACAAATAAATGTCTAAACATTTTATAACTGATTTATTTTCTTTTGTTTTCTTTAAATACTTTTAGATTATAACGTATAAATGTCATTGTTTACAAGATTAATAATTACAATATCAATGAAGACAATATTAATTGTAGTTTAAAGTGCATACAATTGCTTAGGTAAGATATTAGTCTAATGCAACAATGGATCCAGGTTTGAATTTGGTCCATAGCTCCATAGTTTATCATAGGCAGGATAGTCGAGGCATAATAACCACTCTTAATAGAAGAAATTGTGGTCAGCCACATAGTTTTTTTAATTACTCTTCATTCTATGCACACTAAAAGCTAAGTTCACACTATCGTGGTTTCAGCATAGAATTTAGGTTATGATATCATTTCCAGTGGTTGGAAAATGGAATAAGTTGTAATTTCTTACAATGAGAAAATTCGTGACACGACAGAATTATAATCGCTGATTTCTCAGGTGTCACTGTTTCTCCTCAGCAAGAATACAACGTGTAAACCTTGCAATAATGTGAATTGCATTAAGACTGCCGTTTTACCCACGCTCATCATAGATTCGGCAGGCCTACAATAGGCCAATATAAAACAATTGCCTATAAAAAAATTCTTCAGATCACTTGCCCAGATTCAATCTCGAGTTCTATGGGATTGAATCCAGGATTTCACTTCCTTAGCCATCAACCATATAATCTACTGGCAAAGTATGTGCGGTGTCTGGCATTAATTACTAGTTAACTAACCATTATACCCAAAAGATGTTGTTTCAATAAAAATTTTGACATTATATGAAAACTTATTTTAAATATAATGCTGTACTAATACGGTTCAATGTATTGCTTGAACAAATAATGCAATAAGTATAATGTACTTCATAATAAATAATTCTTTAATCCCAAGATTTCTTGTGATTATTTCATTTTGCCTATCTAAACATATCTAAATAACTTTTTAAACAACATATTTAATAAGTATACAAAAGTTAAATATCTATTCTATGTACGGTGCAGATAGGAAATTCAAGTACAATACAAAGTAGATTCTTCTTGGTTATATTTCTACTTCCTGCTTTCGAGTTACTCTACTAAATTGTTTTCAATATCGGCCATTTGAGTGTTAATACGGATATTGAAAGAAAAAGAAGTGACGTTTCACTACTTTTCTGTTTTATAACTGAATTTAATTAAATTCTTTGCGTTTTTGCAATAATTTTTGTGAACCGTGTATACCCGATGTATAGAACGATCTCGCTCATTTATTTCGATACCACATAATGACGTTCCCCGCTAGCAATAATTGTTCTTCTTTAAAACTTCACCATAAACAGCTACAAGCAGCATATATCATTATATCGGACATTAATATATTATTAATTTTACATTACTAGTTACAAGCGACCCATATAGCCATTCTGTAAAAATGCAGTGAGAAAACAACGTTTTTAAATGGACTGTTGAAGCCCATGACGTCAGCGTTGAGCTCATCGGACTCAACTAAGGCGCTAGATAACCCAGGTATGCTCATCCGCCATGTTGGTCCTTAGAAAGCAGACGACTCTCGTAGAAGTTCAATAGAAGAGACACGAAAATAATCATAAATTCAACTGTATCTTAAGATTTTGCAAGGTCGAAATGATAAACTTTGCCAAAATTTAGTGCAACTAGTTATAAAATACAGCTAAATTTAAAAATCTTGGAATATGACGTCAAAAGGACCAATATGGCTGCACACGTGACGGAAGCGTATGAGCATACCTGGGTAATCTAGCGCCTTAGTCTCAACGATCTAAAGACAGATGAGGGGACACTGTCAACTTGGCGACGGTGCCTTTTTAACTCGTTCGTTTAGATCGAAGTGCCTCCATGATATAAGAGAATAATAGACCAATAACAAGGTTATTATGGCTTTGCTTTTACAGTAACAGATTTTCGGATGTCACCTTAACCATTTATCATCTCATTAAATATGGATGGTTTTCGGGATTGAGCTATTGGTAGATTGAAATATTTATAGAGCTCTAGGTTTCTACTTTTGGGCCACTTTAAAAATTTAATTTCAATGTAAAGGACCGTTTTAATTAACTGATTACTTAGTATTAATAAATATAATAAATTTGTCATTTAATTTAAGCATATTTAAACACTAATTCTCGTATGCCATTTATATTACGTTCGTAAACCGAATTACAGTATTCGAAATCCAAGATTCTTTCATTCTTGTCTAGGTGTTTTTAAGTGGAGCTCTCTTCATATAAGAATTTTTTATGTCTATATGAAGTGAGACAAAAAAATTACATATAGGCAATAAAATACTAACTTTACAAAGGACACCCCCATATATTGTCAAATTAACAACAACGGCATAATAGTGATAAAAAGACTAAGTACCCTAACATTTTTTTAAATATATAATTATGTAATCTTGGCTTTTACTTTTCCGGCTGTTATGTTCACATACATAACAAGAGAAAGTAATTGAATCGTGTCAAATTCGACCCTCAAGATTTTTGCAAACCTCCATGTTTTGAGAACCCCTGAACGTAAAAGATTTCGTGGGTGTTGGAGATTATTTCGCTTAATATCTCAGGACGGGGTGAAGATAAACACGAAATTTGGCACGGTAGCTTGTATATAAGGGGCACTGATGCTATTAAATTTTGTTTGTGAAAGGTGAAGGGATGGATAAGGATGGTCACGTGATATATCTCGCAAGGGCGTCAGACAATAGAGATTTTACTTGTTAGCATTTAGTGTTTTATAAAACTCCTCTCTTCCCTCAAAATTTAGTCTTTTGCTATTTTATAATAATTAAAAATATGAGATATTTTTATAACAATATCTGATAATAGATGATGCCACACATAATCTTAGATATTTTGATTAATACAAATGTTATTTTTTAAATAAAATATCATGTGTTTGTCAGATGTCTTGCACAAGCCAAATTTTACCACTGTTGTAAAATGTATATTCATGTATGTGATCTTTCCATGAAATTATTAAAAAATTTATAGATAAAACAGTTATATACAAGAATAACAAACATTTAACACACAATTAATTGTTAAAACTGATACGAAAAATCAAAACTGAATTAATGAAACACTAAAAAATTTATGATTTCAAATAAATAACTCAAACACTCATTCAATAATAGCTTGTTTTTTTATTTTCAGAAAAATTTGTATTTTATGAAGTTTCCATAGCTACTGATTCTTCTGTATGCTTGCCTTTTCCTTTATCTGCCAGTTGTTTTCCTTTCGCTCTGCGTTCTAGAATACGCTTTCTGTCCTTATCCATTTTTAATTTGACAATCACCATCTAAAATAATGTTCAAAAATAAAATTATTTTATTAACATCTTAAGAAACTTGATATTAATGTTACAAATTAAGAACCATACTTTTATATAACCTCCATTATAATATACCCTGCAAAAAACTGTTATAACAAACTTTCACATAACCCATCCTACCATACATTCACATTATACTTTAGGTAAGAGTTCATAATTACAACTTAAAATTGGCATATAATCCATTTAAAATCATTTTTTAAATTCAAATAACCCACACAATAGATTAATAATCATTCAAAATTTTTATTTAGATGGTTGTTTGGTGATGTTTCCATAGATTAATAATCACTGACTTTACAAAACAAAAACAAAAAAATACACTGACTTTTTTTACTGTATAAAATCACTACGATTTTCGTCATATTCATTTTCTAATAATTTACATTTTTATAACTTAAAATCAACAGAAATCATAAATTTTTATTAAATTTAGATTTACAATAAGAGAAAAGTATTAGAAAATTCTAAACTGAAGTTATATTGTCACCATCATCTACTTTACATATTATTTTAAATATACATATTTGTATATTAATTCAAAAGCTTACTGGGATAACAAACCCTCATGGAACCATAAAAATCACATCACATTTCCTATTTTTCTGATGAATTTTTTCCAAATATAACATACTTTATCAATACATTGCACTTATATCAGCCAATAAGAAATTTGCAGCTTGAGCAGAAAAGACTTTTATTCCCAGAGGATATAAAGATCTTTTTGAAAACTTAAAAGGTTTAATAAATAAGAGTTTTGGTCAAATATGTGGTAATCCTCAACATTATATATATACATATACATACAACAGTTTTTGTTTAGTTATGGCAACACAACACTTGGGCAATCTGCCTAGAAGGAATGCCTTCTAGGAGGTCTTTTTAAGGGAAACTGGTCCCTATTTAGACATTACAGACATGGAGAAAACTCAGAAAACTCCACTTGGCCAGCTCGTCCGAGCAAGGCACGAACCCACAACTGAACTCCCAGTGTTCAGGGAACAAAGACCACTTGGCCACTGGTGGGTCATATATATATTGATACAACAGAGTAACATTCTCTTGAAAGTACAAGTTTAAATTAACAGATCTGCCAACATTCTAAAATTATAAAAATTGATTATATCTTTAAAAAATATATATTTTTGAGCATTTATTATGTTCAATGTGATATATTTTTTAAAACTAACTTTTTAAGAGAGTTACACATTTAACTTAATTGGATTAATATTTAACAAGATCTTCTATATATATAGAAATTATGACTTAATTTAATGAAAAGTAAAATGAAAAATGTGATAACACTACCTTAGAAGGATGAATTCCAACATATACAGTAGCTCCATTTGCCTTCTCTCTCTGGATTCTTTCAATATACACAACATATTTTTTACGATAAACTTGTACCACCTTTCCCACTTGCTGGCCTTTATAATGTCCTCTTACCACCTACATTATAATTAGAAATCAAATTAGAAATTAAAGCAGTAAATAATATTCATCATACTGTATAAAGTATGTATAAATTCATGTCAAATAAAATACTGTTCTTATTCAGGAAATTATTTGGTTACTAAAGGAAAATATATGCATGTGACATGGCACTAAAAGTAGCATTATGTCCTTGGCTTTCAATTCAAATCTCAATTTTCTGCCATTTTTCTTGAATGGTGAGGGTTCAGTAAACTTCTTTTAATACAAAGTCTTATTTCTAACAACCAACAACATAGTCCTGTGCTATTCAAATCAACAAAACTGCTATCATTCTAAAAAAACAAAAGGTTAATTTGTCTTATATCATTTAATATTGAAACATTCGTTCAAATGATAGAACAGTATTGTTTTTGACAGGAAAGGTCCAAATTGAAGAATATTGACACAAATAAAACAAAACATGCTGGTTGATAAGAATTGTGTATGTAAAAATTTTTACTTTTTTAAATACTACTTTTAATGAATAACAACTGAAAGTAACATAAATCGATCTATGCTTTGAATTTAAGAACATTCCAAAATGTTTGTTTTAGTTCATACTTCTTGCTTTTGGCCATGCAATTTAATAATAATATAGCATTATACTCTGATGATGGGTTGAAGAAGTCAGAAAGAACTTGGAAATTAAAAGTTAGTACAGCAGAGCATCGTTTATACGAAAGCCGATCAACCAAAACATTGGTTAACCAAAAGCTTTCCAGTCAGACTGTGTCGTGCTGAATCAAACATTTTTGATACTAGATTAGCTTCCAAAATATAATTTTTTTGTTTTAATATTTTTCAATATATTTATTTTGTTTGTACAAAATAAAGAAACAATTTTTAATGATACAATAGTCACAATTATTATTTTAAAAATTTACACTAGGCTTAACATCAATGAAAATTCAATGCAAAGCAACACACAATGGAGAAAAATTTCAACATGGGATAGGTTAATATATTTTTTCATACATAATCAGTTATCTGAACAACCCCAGTCTCCAACTGATTCGGATAAACGACGCTCTACTGAATTCATTTTCTTCTGAATCCATAAGTTTCAAGAAAAGGTTTTTGAATTCTGCAATGTGAGGGCGCATGTCTTGGCAGCCATTAAGATACTGCTAGTTGTTAGTGTAGGTCTGCAATTTTTAGTTTTTTTTATTGGTGACATGCCTTATAAAACCAGTTCAGGTAGATATTGTGCAGTGGTTAGTTGTTATAATAGCCAGTGTGTTCCTGAAAGTGGTTTGAAACTGTATGAAATATACATAATATGATGCATCAAGATTGTCCATGTATTCAACTGTTCCAGTTACATTCATTTCAATGTAATGAAAATTTAAGAAGAGAATGGGTAAACCAGCCATGCATGTACAATACATCCACTATATAAATAACTTTGATATCATTAGACACCCAAGTCCATACAGAATGATTACTTGCAGATAAGGATGGCTCTACATTTGTCTTAAGAACACAAATGTTTTGTGACAATTTATTAATTAAAATTTTACCTACTTTACCACTTGAAAAATAATTATAACAGTCAAGACTCATATAATTAAGCATTTCTTGGTAATCATATGCTTTACTTTTAATAAGACATTCAAATATAGCTGGATATTCTAAATGTGGCCATTCTCTCATATCATTATTCCAAGATTTTATAGTACTAATTGGTGGGAATGACTGTCTATCTGAAAATAAATTAGAAAATTCAAGTTTATAGAAAAACTATGCAAAAATCCAAAAAATTTCGCATTAGACTTAACTTTATGATATTTTGTAAATGTTTTGGACTACTTTATGAATTAAACATCAATATAAATATTCCTGATAGATAATAACAGTAAAATATTAGTAAAATTACAGAAGCCAATTTTGCCAATTATTTTCTAGAACCAAAATAAAAAAATAGGATTTAAGTTTTCTTAATTTTACTCTAAATTTTTATCAGTTTTAAAAGATATTTCCCAATGATGTATGTAGCACACTTCTTTTGTTAAAAAAAATTTAAACTTGTGTAAAAATGATTGAAAATATCTCTTTATAATGTAATACCACAGTATAAGAAAGTACACAAATCTTAGGAAACTTGTGGATACCATTGAAGCAGTTTTTGGTGTTTTGTTTAAAGTTTTTGAAGTTAAAAAATGTTCAACTTGAATGCTGGGTCCAGAAAAAAGTCAAAGGGATGCTAAATCTGGTATGTACTGTACGGTGGTTGTAGCACACAAATCTTGCCAAACTCAGTGACCACATTAGCAATATGTGGGCATGCATCATCCTGAAGCAGCAGTTAATAATCATTATGACTGAGATTGTGATATTTCATGTAGGCTGCATGTTTCAGTGACCAAACAAAATAACATTTCCATGAATTTTTTTGATACACAGCCATTCATTGCAGTGATATAAATTTGGAATTTGTTGATGTCATGCTTTCAATAGGAAAAAATTCCAACTCACAATTTGTATTCATACACGTAAGATCAATATAAGGCAATTAGTGGAGGTATTACACACCAAAATCATTAAATGTAAATTTGATGCTTTGAATCAAGTATTAAAAAATGGCGTCTCGAACGGAGCACAATCGGTAAGTAGTCCTATGATTTTTTGTTTATAGCTCTTTATATACGGGTCGGACGGAAAAACGTTATGCGTTTTCCGAACGACTATTAAATATTCATTCTTTTTAATATAACATAATTAAAAAAATTCATATTCCCTTAATATGCACAATTACCCTAATTTTTAGTTTACAGCATTTTGTGTATGTTGCTCCCAAAAAATTCTATATGTTTTGGAAATGTCTATCATATATGTCTCTTTTTTAAAAGAATTATGCATCCAAGATACCCAATGAACATGCCCACGATATAACTTTGAAAGGAAGATTACACAACCAATTCTTCACAAAATCATAATCTTCAATTTTCTACCCAATATTAGCAAATACATCTAAATAAAACTGATTCAAACGAGTGAAAAATCTAATTTCTCATTTATAAATACCAGTCGACCCCTTATAACACTGTTGATTATTCCGTTTTATACGAATTCCATGTTGTACGAGACACTTATATTTTACAAATACGTGAGCCATTCACAGCCCGGCACACGTATTTGTAAAAGCTAAGTGACTCGTACAACATGGAATTCGTATAAAACGGAATAATCAACAGTGTTATAGAGGGGTCGACTGTACTTTTGGTATGTTGGATATCAGAATTAACCATATTTTATGTCGAAAATGACTTTGATGTTTAAAAATCAATTACTTTAATAATTACTAACCTGAACTTCATCATCTTTTCTAATGGGCATACTACGAACTCCATATTTTTGACGAAGTTCTTTAGATAATGGAGAACTCATAATAACTCTTCTTATATGAGAAGGTGCATTGAAATGCCTTTTTCGATTCTTCCTTCGAGAGGAAGTAACCAACTTGTTCATCTTCATTTTGAATAGGAAATCTAATTATAAAATTAAAATTAAATTAAATTATTCGAGAATTTAACATTAATGAATTCAAAGTAATTATTTTATTATGTTCAAAATTCGTATTTTATACGTAAAGTGGGCTTAAACTAATATCTGATAACAAAATAATATAAACTTTGCTTTCGTAATATAGTAAAATTCGCGTTGGATGCTTAAAAATAAGTAAAATTTACGAAGATTTTACTGACCTACAGAAATCTCACCCAACCTGCTATTTTAACAACACTTCCAAGATGGTGGAAGGACGAATCAGTGTTGCCAGTATCCGTTGATGAAAATATATATTAATAATAACGTTTATTAACGTGTTCTATAATTTTGTGATAAAAATTTTAAATTAACGCTTTTTATAGTGTTTGATCACAATTATTATTTATCAAATTTTTATAATTATCATCATTGATCTTATCCCAAAATTTAAATTGGCAATGAATCTTTTTATTCATTAGTCATTTATACTTATAGAAGTGACGTTTCTTTGTGTTATAATGATTTTCTTCGTTAAATTTTGCTGTAATAAATTCAAAAAATATTTCAATTCTTGTACCTTAGTACATTACATGAGGGTTAAAGTATAACATGAAACTGAAGTTACTATAATTTAGCAAATTAATTAATATAAGTTAAAGCTTAGAAAAAAGTAAAATACATAAGAATAATCAATTTTTGAAACACACGATAAATCAATTATATCTTTCCAGGACTTAAATCTCATGAAATACCAGTCAACCCTCCTATAACACTGTTGATAATTCCGTTTTATATGAATTCCATGTTGTACGAGTCACTTAAATTTTACAAATACGTGAGCCATTCACAGCCCGGCACATGTATTTGTAAAATTTAAGTGANTCCGCCCCCCTATAACACTGTTGATAATTCCGTTTTATATGAATTCCATGTTGTACGAGTCACTTAAATTTTACAAATACGTGAGCCATTCACAGCCCGGCACATGTATTTGTAAAATTTAAGTGACTCGTACAACATGGAATTCATATAAAACGGAATTATCAACAGTGTTATAGGAGAGTTGACTGTACTTTTTCTTGTTTGCTTCAAATTTCATGCAATGAAAAAATATATGTAATTTGAACTCGCATACTACTGAGTTGTTCGGAAAGTAAGTTCGTTTTTTCTCCGTGGAAAAAATACAATGTTTTTATAATAAATAAATATTTTATTGTATTATATATCAACCATTTTGATCAAATACCTGTTATCATTGTTTCTGGTAGTAGCACGATTTCACATTCATAAAAGTTTTGATCGTTGCTTACAAAAAACTGATCCAAGTGATTTTTGACATTGTCATTTCAAATAAATGTCTTACAGTTAAAAAAAATTTGTGTAGACCGGAACAAGTAATAATCTGAATATGCTCGATCTGGCGAATACGGTTGGTGTGATAACACGTCCCATCTACACTATAACAGTTTCTGACGAGTTACCAAACTTGTGTGAAATTTGACATTATCGTGATAAAACACTACACCTGTTTTGTTGATCAATTCTGACCGCCTTTTCTGTTTGATGATATTACTCAGTTTGTTTACTGGATGGCAGTACACTTTCGAATCAATTGTTAAATTGCCTGGTAAAAGCTCCAAAAAAAATTTCCTTAAAATTCCACCAAAGACAGCATCTCTCTTTAAGAACACGTGGAACCCATATATCGAGCTTTGAAACAAACCAATTTGTTTCAAGTAATCATAAACGGTTCAATTTGACAAATTTAATCTCTTAGTGATTTCACGCGTTGTTATTCGGCAGTTTGCTTCAATCGGTACCTTTATTTTGTTTTCGTTGGCGTCGACTGGCCATCCAGAACGTGGTGCATCTTCAATATTGAAATTGTCAGAATGAAATTTTGTAAATCTGTTTTGGCACTGTCTTTCTCTCAACACGTCTTCTCCATACACGTCTCACAATTTTTTTCTCGCTTGAATAGCATTCTTACCTTTTCGGCAACAAAAGAGCCGAAAATGCTGCTTCCGATATTTGATGGGACACAAAAAATAAACAATTGCACGAAATCAAACAAAATTTTTTACAAATAAGCCTTAAAATGCTAGCTGTCAAAATATATAATGATAATACGGTTTAGAATGAAAATGGCGAAAAAAATACGACTAATTCCTTTAGTGGTTAAAAAAAAAACGAACTTACTTTCCGAACAACCTAATACAATTACTGCAAATTCTCCATTGTTAGTCTACTATTATGTGTTAAAATATAATTTTGACCACATTTCAGTTGCAGGATTAGTCGTTTTACATAATAATTTATGTCCATGAACAAATAATCCTCAAACATAAACGTTGTTTTACTGTAATAGTACAATTTAATTGAAAGCGCTCATTCTTTTCTAACAAAGACCAATTTTCTTGTATGCATATTTCACAGCAAAGTCTTATAATTAAAGGTTGATAACATTTGATCAGATTAGGAACTTAAGACAAGCATAAAAAAGGAAAAACCAAGTCGATCTAACAAATTTTCCAACGCCAAAATCTAATTATATGAATAATTTTCCATTTTTGAACTTAAAATATAGAATTTGTTATATGCTAATCGAGGACATCCGGCCGAGCGGTTAAGCTGGCAGCCTACCGCTTTGAGGGACCGGGGATCAAATCCGAACGGGTCGAAAAATCCCCAGGAATTTTTCGGGGATGGTCCGTCCGGATATGTCGGGCCCCGTCCCTCACCACCCGGCCACCTCATTGTGGGCCTGGCTGAACCCATAATGGACCTGCTGAAAAGAGGCCCCTTTAGTACTCACAGGACGGAAAGAGTAAAAAAAAATAACAGAAATATGTTTCTTATGGTGCGGTTGTTTCTATATTGCTTTAAAATTAATTCTTCTTAAAGAATTTGGAAAACTTAACGGTTGATGCAGAATTATACCGTCGTTTTTTTTTTTTAAATCTCTGACCGCATTTCAACAGAGGCTCCCCTCATCAGGTGTTACATTTCTACAATCGGTAAATATACAATTTTTTACAGTAATTATTACAAGTTGTTATTTAAATATTTTTTCATTATATTTAACTAACCTTTTTATTTGTAAATTATACAGTTTGCGGTGTCGATCTTCTATTCCCTAAGGCATTTCCAACTGTCTCGTAAAGACAGTGAAACATTATCTATCCCAGAAGCTGAATGCACTCATCTTTTGAATTACAGTGTTCACCTCTGAAACTGAGATAGGAAGATCCAAAAAGGGATAAACCACTAAAGAAGCAACCAGCAAGGATGAGATCAGAACATTCAATGCATTTAAACTAAATAACTGTTGATAATAATTAAACCAGTCAAAGAGATTTCGTGGTCTGATATGCTTTTAATCCCACAAAATTGACCAACTTCATACCAAAACATCCTGGAGTTTCTAACCTTTTTCCAGTTATAAGGCAAAATTACAAAAATATTTTCTATTTGGCCCTCCCACACGTCATCAATCTCCATTCCATTGTTTAAGTTTATGGTGTTGGTTGTACTAACAATTGCAAGTTGTTCTTTGAATCTACATAGATATCTGTCTTTTTCTTTGAGTATTATTTTTATGTTTTTAGTATTAATTGTACTGTACATCCAAATTCGTGCAATGTTCAGTTCATGGTGACTGGTTAGTTTTTAGTCTAATTGCATTTTCATGATATTTTATTCTAGTTCTGATTTGTCTACCCGTTTCTCCTGTGTAGATTGCTGGTTTATTGCATGTGCATTTTAGTTCATACACTACTCCTCCTAGGAGTGCAAGTAACATCAAAAATCTTACACCCGAAATGCATAGTATAATAAAGAACTAACGTATACAGTATAATCCTTAGTAGTTGCCTCTGTTGAAATGCGGTTACAATTTAAAAAAAAAATGATGGTATACTTCTGCATCAATCGTTAAGTTTTTCAAATTCTTTAAGAAGAATTTTTGAAGAATTTTAAAGCAATAAAAAAAAAAAAAAAATGCTAATTCAACATAACTTTTATCATTGAATTTCAAAAGTTTAATCAAAAATAAAATTATTCCTTTTATTACAATTACCAATTAAAATAGTCATGCTATGAGGCACTAATAGACACCATGTATCTCTTAAAACCGGAATTAACTGCTTTTCCTAAGATGAAACAACTAGCGGATCTTATCTGTTATCAATCGTTAAGTTTTCAAGGCCAGATATATAGGCAAAGAAAAGGTGTGCCTATGGAAGCCCAATATTGGGTTTGCTATGTGAGCTAGTTCTGCATAGGTTGGAAAAGAATACTATTATACATTTTATGGCTGACATAGTACTGTACTAGAGGTATGTAGATGTCTTATATTATGCAGAAACAAAAATAGGATTCAACAGTTTTTGGATAAGGTCAACTCAAATAATGAAAGAATGAATCTTAAAATGCTGCAAATAAGTCCAACACAAATATGTTTCTTGGACATTGATGTCGTATTTAACAATGGATATTTGAACATAAAGGTATACATTAAACTCACGCATGGACCTCTGTATATTCCTTCTTGGTCAAATGATGCCTATATTTACAAACTATAGGCCTTTAGAGCATTAATAAGAAGAGCTTACATGTATTGTTCAAACATACATGATAGGATAAAAGAGCTGGATAAATTTAAAAACGTAGCTGTATCCTTAGGATATAAAACTGCTGTAATTGAAAAATTGACAAGAAGTTATGTGGAGAATAGAATGATAACAAGAAAGAACAAAGAAACTAAATTTATATATAACAAGAACATGACTGGTGTTATGAATGAAACAGCAGACTACAAAGACTCTCAGTTGGTTTTCAAGAGAGTGCCACATTTATAGCTTTTTAAGGAATGATCAACTTAAAAAGAAAGGAGAGAAGGATTTTGTATACAAAATCCCATACAAAAATGGAAAACCTTAAACAGAAACCTTAATAAAAGTCTTAAAGAACACATATATAACATTGAGAAAAGGCAGTATTGTACGGCTTTGTTTAGAATGGTGCAAAGGATCAGTGATAAGACAGGAGGAAGCTAGCATTATAAAACCGGTACACTCACCATTAGCAATGAATTTGGAAAAAGTTGAAATTTATAGAAGTAATTTTTTGGGGAGTAGATGTATGAAAAGATGCCATAGTGTTACCCACAGTGTGGAAATATATGGCTGAAAAGAACTTGTTGGAGAATAGTGCATAATGACCATACAATCAACAACTGATGTCATGATTGAAATTTTTCATTTCTTTTTTTATTTTATGTTTGTTATTTTAAATTGTATATATATTGCTGTAATTTATTTTTTGAATTCAAACAGCTCATTATTCCAAAGAATTTTGTATTTTAAATGTTCTTAACTGTTCTATTCAAAAGTAACAGTTAAAAATGTTCCATGAATTCTTTAAAACCTGAAGATGGCCTGTAGAAAAGGTTGTAAACATTTGTCAAAATTGATAAATAATTCTCAGTGAGATAAGGTTGTTGTTGTGGAAATTAGGTTGATTATTAAAAAACCATCTCTCCCTGAATGCGCATTTATAGTTAATCCATAATCACAGCAAAATTCCTCTAAACTTTAATTTTCTGTTGCAACATTTTTGGAATATCAGCAAGAATTAAAGTCGTCATCTTTGAATTCAAACATTAATACATATATTAATTAATTAATATATGTAATCTCAACTTAATTAGAAAGAGAAATCCTAGGTAAGTCAGATTTAGCAAGTTGCACTTTCAAGTGAAACACTTGTATAAATTAGTAATAAAAATTATTGCAAGTTTTTCCTAGATTTTCGACTATGTTGAATCATTTAATTCCTGTATATAAATAACAATACACTGTACTTAACACTTATTAAACATGCTATATTTAACACAGATAATTAAAAAACTTTGAACAAGACTTCTTGCACTGTTCACTATAAATAATCATTATATTAAGTATTTGCATTGACTTTTGTTTAATGGTTAATATAAATTTTTAAAAAGATATAATAATTTTCAATTATGAATCAGAAACTTATTTTGTGGAATAATTTTTTCCTAATATCCCACAGAAAATTTATTAGTTACTTCTCAGTTAACACTTTTTATCATTTTATTCCAACAGATAGTAGTCTGGTTTACTGCTCAATATCTACCTTTATCAATTGCACATTCTATGCTAATGTACAGTACCTGTATATTGCCAAGATCCAAAATCAATGTAAAAGAGACATTTTTCCAAAATATAGATTGAAGAAAAATGTTGGAAACTTGAATGATGAATTAAGTAAAGTCTTTGATAAGAGACTAAAATGAATCGTGCCTTTATCTATGGAAATAATTGCAGTTTTTATATTTTTATCCATCTTATTATTCTACATAAAAATTTCTAAATCTACATTAAATAAGTGCTTAGCAACCATTTAGCTTCCATCTATTCATTGGAAAAAGAACATTAAAAAAACTTTTGATAGTGAATCTGATATATTTAAACAGCTATTCATATGTTAATGGAACAATAACTCATATTTAAACACAGTCCCAGACCAAATATCTGGCTTCCAGAAATCCAAATTGCCAGAAAACTGGCTATTTTTGAATTTGGCATGTGTAGTTAATCACACAGCCATTTTATTTTGATTTCCATGGTATGATTCATACAGTGCATTTCATTTTTTTACTTTCCATTGTTTATTTTATATTTTTACAAATTTAGCCAGTATTCAGAACACTGAAAAATCTAGAAATCCAGACCATTTCCAGTTGAAAGCTTGCTGGATATTTGGTCCAGTGCTTATAATATATTATAAATCAGTGTTTCTCAACCTCTAACAAATCGCCGCCCCCTTCAATAAAACCATTACGTAATATCGTCCCCTTCACTACAAAATTCCGATGCCGAGGGATAAGGCTAATGCCAAATTCGTACTGCATTGAATAGACTAGTGACTAGTATAATGTTATTTGTTTAATTATTGTACGATATGACGAATAAAATATCTAATTATTCTTAATATAATGTTTTACTATATCGCCCAGAAAATTGTTTTTCGCCCCTCAAAATATAAATTGTTGCTAATTGCCCTTGAACATGGAAAAACGCCCACATGGGGGCGATATCGCCCCCGTTGAGAAACACTGGNATCAGGGGGGGACGATATCGCCCCCATGTGGGCGTTTTTCCATGTTTAGGGGGCAATTATGACAGTGTTTCTCAATGGGGACATTGAGAAACACTGTTATAAATAATTAAGTCATAAGATTTCATTATAAAAATTCTCATTTATTAATAAAGAACTATTTAAAACATATTTAACAATAAATAACCAACCATACAAATTAATTACTTTATCAATCCTATTGAAGAACAAGTTAAGCTTTAAAACTGAGCCATTTGTTAAATAATAAGTTCATTTCTTCTCTCTTGGCTTTATTACTGCAATTAACAGTAGGTATAATGCGTTTAGGTTTCAAAAACTGTACAAATTGTTTTAATTCTTCAAAACTGGAATGTTCACTGTAAGGAATACCTTTAAAATAAAATAAATTATAATTAAATACATTTTAAAATAAAACTATTACTTCAAAACTTACCATAGATAGTTATGGAACCAAGCAATTTAGGTTTTATATTATGCAAATTTTTATTTTGTAACCGAGAATTAAATTCCCATCCAGTTGGCTTCAATGCTAGAATTTCACTAAATTTTCCTTGAAACTTTTCAAGATGTTGATAAAGACCCTAAGAATAATAATAATAATTATAATTGTAAACAATATATTGATAGAATAATTCATCAGAATCATTAAATTGTAATTTTTACAAATAATTAATAAATCAAAACCTTTTCTTTAAACTATAATCTTATATTATAAAAGAACTTCTTGTCTCAAAAACTGTTGAAACTAAATCTCAAATAATATAGTAGAGATAACAGAGACTTTCACACTGCTATTGGTAACATCAAAATGGCACTTCTATCATCAGAATGCAACTTTATTAACCACTCAGCAGTGAGCGATGACTATAGTCGTCGAATTTTTTGGGGGGTATCGCCAAAAACTAGTCTAAAAGTACCATGAAATAAAAATTCACATAAAAAATAAATTATGTAGCAATAAAAAAAGACTTTTCTTTACTAGACATAACTGTTTACAAAATCTTTTTCCGAAACAGTAATGAGAAAAAACACGTGGAAAAATACTTTAAAAATTTCCGATGTTTATTCTCCACTACTGGGGGTAGAACCATAACCGACTAGTCCACTGTTGAAAGGTTAATGATATGCATTTTGGTACAAAAGATCCTCATCAGCCATACACAAATATATATATATATATCTGTTGAACAAATTTGCAGAGAAACTGACATTAGTTACAATTTAAAACATTCAAGATTTTCACTCAAGACCTATTCAAGATTTATTTTCATCCACACCGCAACAAATTTTCAAAATATAATATTATATTTTAAAGATTCATTAAACAATTTATTGCAGGATCACTCCTGAACAATTAATTAATATTGAGACAAACTACAACTCTACAATAAGTAGCAACATAATAAGCTTTAACACATTAAGAAGTCTTATTTATTGTATATTAATGCTTTTGAAGCCAAGATGATTCAACTCATGTAATTTATATTTGAAACTACATCTGAAGATAAAGCTGGACTCTTGAAAACAATAAGACTTTTCAGCTGTTAGATTTTCAGGATTTATTTTATAATAATGTCAAGTTTTCTAATTTGTTTAAAATAATAGAACACAATTCAAGAAATAAAAATTAATGAAAAAATCAGCAACTAATAAGAATCCCCATGGGATTCCCAGCATTGGGTGACATAAGATTTTCTTAAATGGATGGAAAGAGAATCATTATGGACTTTTTGAGCAGCATCAAATTAATATTATGGTATGTGAACAATATATTAATTTTTTTTGAAATGGTAAAGAAGAATCAAAAACTTTATAAAAGCAGACAAGCAAGAAAAATCCAATTTTCTTGATATAAGCACACAAATTTCATCTAAGTTCTGAATTCAGAGATGTCATTCTTATAAGATGGCCATTGCTGGAATGTGCAAATGAAAAGCTACTTTCAGTAGATTTTGACATGCTCTGTAATACTGAGATACTGAAAGATGCTCAACACTTTTGTCATACCCCAACTGCAACAGTAACAATGTCTTGAGTCAATCTTTTGCATTCAAGATGGAGCATCTCCATATCGGATGGTAAAGCCAAGATTCAAAACTTATAAAAGCAGTAAATGATAATTTTACAGGAGTATCCATCAAGCTAACAGCTGAGAGTTTTGAAAGCATACATTTATGGTTATTAATAAAATCATCATCTAACCATTGAAGAACCTTCTGCTTGCTGATAGAAACCCAATATATGCTAAGTTTTCCAGATCATTGTCACTTGTTGAAATTCAGGTGTAATGCTGTTTTCACTGGCATATATAACTAAGGCAGTAGTGCAACATATAAACCAACTATGGAATCTGGAGACATTAGAAATTTTTAAAGTGGACTGCAAAGGCCTGCTAATCAATTTTAAAGACAAAAAACAACTCTAGAGCATGGCAGGCTGTGTATGACCAGGAAGCTATAACAATTGATGCAGGCGCACATCTTCTGAAAATTAAAAAAATTTTTTTAAATAAATTCGAAGATTTTATTTTAAAACTTTTTAGAACATTTGAAACTGGATTTTAGAACATTTGAAACTGGAATGTTTAAAATTGGAAGCTAAATCAAACTCAGATTGCACCATAAAAATTTTTATAGAACACCTGAAGAACGTCCTAGGGTGGATTAGTGTGTTACGTTTCTAAATTTAATGTAATGTTAGTGTTACGTTTCTAAAATTAACTGCAAAGCTATACAAGGTTTGTGTGATGTATTTGTATTTATTATCACTTTGTTTGTCAGATGGATTTGATTTCTGTGTAAAGCAATTACTGAGACATTTCACCATTAACAGAGTGATTAGTTGTGCATTTCCTACTGCCTGATATCTTGTTCTCTGAATATTAACTTGTGTGATTTTTGGTTGCAAGAAATTTAAAAAGGATGGTTATCAAGGACATGTTCAAATTTGGTAGCCTTGAAAGACAGTATCAAAGGATCAATTATAGTCAGTTATTGAACACACTATACATCATTCAAAATGATGACAACATTGAGCAGTATTTCAAGAATTGCTAGTCTTGGTATAGCATGTCTTATATAAATAAAATGTTAGTTTCTTGCAGACTAAAAGTGCCATAGTGGTAAGTTTAAATACTAACTTATTTTTATGGACATGTCTTTCAAGTGTCCTGAAATATAAGTATACCAGGTTTCATTTAGATTGCTAAATATCTGTCTAGGAAACCTTGAATACAGGGTGTTTTAATTATGATCACTCAATCTAAATGTATAAAATCACTTGTCCTGACTGACTGACTCATCATCGTCCAGAGCAAACCGCTGAACCGAGCTAAAATTTGGTACACAGTTAGGTTACATCATGAAAATGCACACTAAGAAGGGATTTTTCGAAATTCCTCCTGCAGGGGAGAGGGAGAGTATTAAGGCTTAATCTGAAGAATGGCTTCTACTGTACTATTTTAGATGCAATGTTTTGTTTTCAACTATGTTTAGTCTTCATTGAGTACTTAGGTATATTAAATTAATAACATTTCAGACAATTTTATACATATTTTTATATATTTTGATTAAAAAATCAATATATATAAAATTTTTGAACTGTTTTAAATTTGAATTTGTTATTGCATATTGGTTCAATTATAGAACGATTGTAAACGTTCCAGAAAATTGATAAAATTGAAAACAGCTCGTTTGATTTGCAGCAATTCTCATCATTTTCAGCAGTAGGTGTTATATAACAATTACTATGGTTGTTGAAATACTGTATATAAATGGCATTTTCTTGAAAAATCTACACGGGTGAAGTTGCGGGTAACAGCTAATATATTATAAGCAAGCTACGAGAGCATCAAAAAGTACATTATATTGTAATCTTTTAGAACCAATAATGAACAAAAAATACAGGATCCTCTTTTATCATCTTTAAATGGTAACCTGAAAATATAAAACTGATCAAAAACATTTGTTTTATTAAATAGTTTTCCAACAATAATTTTTTAGACTCCTATATTTTTATAAATTATTTTTTTTTTGAAAATACAAGAAACAATGTTTAAATATTTCAATAATGATTCCATATTTATTAGTCTCCATAATTAACAGAACAAAAAATTCTTAGATATGATGTATACAAAGTACAGCTGTCCTACTTTTCCTTTAAATCAGAAAATAGTAATATAAGCCATTTTAATGTCATTTTTACTTCTATTTTATTTTATTCTATTCACTTCAAGACATTAATTAGCCTTTATTGCATATTCAACACACAGAATTGTATTATTAATTAAGATAAAATTAAAAATTTACAATAAACACCTTTGCATTCAGTTGTGCCATAGGAAGAACATGAACTTTTGCATCTTGAGCAGATGATACAAGATGGTTATTAATAAAATCATCATCTAAGCATTGAAGAACCTTCTGCTTGCTGGCAGAGACCCAAATTTTACATTCTANTATATTTATTGTCCTGGCCATATTATTAATGTTACATAAATTTGCTAATTTGAATTTATTATGTGAATAAACTCAAATTTTTCCTTCGTTAGAAATACTCCTTGCTCACAAGTTAAAGCTACATATGCCTATTGTAATAGAAAAAAATCCAGCAAAGAGTTGCTTAACTTTTCCGGCATTTAAAACTGCGTCTGTAGCGTCATCTGTTATGATATTTTATTATTAAAAACTTCTTTCAATTTTATAATAATTAAAAACTTATAATTTGAATTTTCCTTAATTAATTAATTTATACTCAACCCCACTTGAATAGTAAAATAGTAATAATAAACTTGAAAAAAACGCACATAATCGAGCCCAGATAAACAATTCCATTCTTTAAAAATATATTTAATTATATTTTAATATTGGCGAGAAAAATTTAAGAAATTATTTCTAAAATTTCATCTCGAGAGAGAAGTCTTTAAATACAATAGATAAGTAATTAACTAAAAAAAAAAGATACATCACAGCCTTGATTTATAACGGAGAACATGGCGCAATAAAAAGATAAATTTTGAATGTTTAGCTATAAAGATAATGTTTGGGATTAAACAAGTGCATTGTACTTTATAACTGTCGCAATAGAGAGTCATAAAGGGAGTTGGAATAAACAGACACATTCAAAAAAGAGTCGCTATCTGCAGCCATTGTTGCCATTGCATTCTATCGGACCCAAGAGTCTGATAGAAACGCCTTTGTTGCACTCAGAAAATCAGAGGTAGTTTCCATCTTTTCAAATAGAAATCGTCCAAACCATTATCTCTCCGGTAACATCCAGATAATCCTTGATTTATTTTGAAGGGAAAATGATAACTGAACGACAAAGATCTAACCGATAGTTTAGTAAAAATTCTATTTATATGACACCTTACAATGGATAATATTAAAATGGCTCCATTAAGTTAAAATTGTGTTTAACTCAATTATTATTAAAAGTAAAAAACTAATGAAGCAAATCTATAATGCAATAATGGCATTATACATTAGGAATAAACCACAAATTTGATAATTAAACCAAGTGTTTTAAGTTTTATTATTTAATACCTAATGCACGAATGGTGAACATTTTTGAGTCCATGTGCCATATAGTAAGTGTATCTTTAAAAATGTTTGTGTGTGCCAAAGCTTCAAATAACTATGCTTAAATAAATAAAATGAATGTGCTTTAATTAGCATAAATCTAATTAAGCTGATTGAAAAAAAAGAATGATTGGGTAATAAACCAAAAGGATGATTGAAAAAGAGGGGCGATAGACCGAAATCGTATATGTTACATGGTAGACGATTGCTCCAATGTGCCACTTCGAGTATGTGCGCCATAGGTTCACATGAAAATGTTTCATTTTATTAGTAAAATTTCTGGCATATAGTAATATTCTGGATTAACTGTCAGAACTGTGAAATCCGCTAAAATACAGTTGTTGGGAAAAATAATGTAAACAACTCCGATAGAAAAAAAATGCTCCTAGTGAGAATTTGATCGGAGGTCACCGTTTGTGATAACAATTAGATGGGAAAGTTGACACATAGGTGTCAAGAATGCACCATTATTTTCAAATTTGATGATCATGTGACTCCTTTCCCATGACAATAGAATAAAAGCTGGAGCCACAAGAAGCTCAGGGCAATCCAAAGGAAGTTATACTTGTAAATGTGTGCATCTTATCTCCCAGACCTCCATACAACGGACTCAAATGAACGAAAGGAGAAGAAATCAGTAGAAGACAGACCACAGCTTCAAAACTTTCATGCTTATTGCCATACTACAGTTCTATGCCGGACTACGATTCCTATGAACCATTCGAAGCATACCATTCGTTTCCGCATAGAGGTATTTTTTAGAGCATTGTGAACTCTCTCTCACTCTGAAAATAGCTGCTAAGAGCTGCCCCTTTGTATATTTATCTCATATTTAATCGCATTTAATTGACTTTGTTAACCTTAGATTTTAACAAATGCTTTGTTTATTTGTTAAACCTGTCTCCTGTCTTTGAAAGGACGCCTGCCGACTTGCTCACCTTCCTTGCCACTCGATAAAAAGCCATCCGAAATGATGTGAGTGGTCCTTGCAGACTGTTTCCGAGTAAGTGGTCAGAAGAAATTAAAGGCCCTTGGCCCATGGTATCTCACAGAACTATCAATATCAAATTTATTAAAATACTTATAACTTAGTTTAACTAATATTTTAATTTTTGAAGTTAGACTATTTATAAAAACACATTAACACTTTCAAGTCTATCATTAAATCCTTTTCACACAACCACAGAAGACACAGTTATATTGGTTAGAAGATAAAACTTCTTTAAAAGACAAATAATAAAAGGTAAAAAATTCACAATGTTTAAAAATGTGGTTGTGTGAAAAGGATTTAATAATAGACTCGAAAATATTATGTTTTTGTAAATAGTCAAACTTCAAAAATTAAAATATTGAAGAATATCCTGAGTTAACATTGAATCTTGTTAGTTTAACTAAATTTTTGTTAAAAAATTGTAATATTTTTGTTGCATAGGACAATTAAAGAATGTTATCTCTTTGTAATATGCTTCACATTTATTAAAAGCATTAAAACTGCTTCATCTACATTGACGTAAATGCAAGTTGTAGTACATTTTCTTGTAGGTCTCGCATCATTGGCTAATTTCAAAATTGATTCACAATTTGTTATTATGGTTGATAAACTACTAACAGGAATTCCAAACTTTGCTATAATGTCTTTCTTTTTTGAGCCTTTATCAAATTCCCACAACACATTAATTTTTTTTAGTAATACTTAAGCTCCTTCTGCCCTTCCAGTGTGCACATCATTTATGGACAGTCTCATATTTATAGTTCTTCAAATTCCAACTGGACAACTTATTAAATAAAATAAAATCTCACTAACCTCAAAAATTAATCTAGCAGTTGTCAAAATTATGACCTTTCTAATGTTTTCAATATTCATTAATTGTAAATCATTTATCTTTCAAGCGAGATTAGGTCCAAATGCCATCCATTTGGACCTAATCTTGCTCTCCCTTCTTTACAACTGGTAGCCACATGGGGACCAAATTACATGATGGTTTTAAAAGCGAAAAAGCAGTATTTCTCACACCTAAGCTGCAGTTTTATGAACGATTTACAGATTGATACCTGAAATTGAACCTAAATCCAAACTCAACCCAGAAGGAGTAATCAATTTTTAATAATTGATGGTTCTTACAAATTAAAAAAAATCATTATATAGAAATTTATCATTATTATTATTTAGAAGCAATTTTATATATATTTTTGGCTGAATGATACAAAAATTCGTTATATGGAGAAATTCACTACATAGAACTTTGTAATATGGAAGTTTGACTGTATTTAAATCTGATACTGATACATTTTTATTAAGATAATATTTTTCAAAAGATTCAATTTTCAATAATAAAACTGGGAAAAGATTTTAAAAGTTTATTCAAAAAATACTTTATCAGCCTGAAAACATATCTTAGGAGTCTTGCTCACTAAAAAACTGTCTTGCACCTAAAGTTACAAATCACTAAACTAAACAAACATGCATAACATATAAACTTTTAATGATATGATTACTTACTTTTAAATACTTTTTCTTTTCCAACAGTGTAACTGCCACAAACAATTAACAAAGAAGAATTGTTGGTTGCTTTATCTATTACTAGTGATTGCACATAGAGTAATACATCATCTTGAGAAGGGAAATTGTAGAAAGGATCACAATATCTGCAATAGTAAATAAAAGATAAGTGTGAAACAATTAAATATAAAATTATATGTAAGATAAAATGTAATGTAGCAGAGAAAATCTCAAATGGAGATTTAATAAATATGAAAACTCAAATTACAGGGGAAAAAACAAATTTTAAAATACAAATTTAATAATTTATATTTTTAAAATTTTCTTCTTTAAACTCTTACCAATGCAATTAAATGTTGTAATTTGAAAAAAATCTCAAAGTGAGATGCTAGAAAGAACAAAATAAAGAGATAAAGACAACAATATTCAGTAAAGAATTACAAGTTACAGTATACAAAAACAACTACATAAAAATGGAGACATGGAAAAAATAGAAACTACAAAGCAATTTAGCACTCTAGAGAGATGACTGTTTATTTAGTTTTGACCTTTTCATACTCGTGTTTTACAGAAAGCACTGGCAAGTTATATAAAATAGACACATTTTAATACACATGACAAAATAAAAATTACACAATACTGAGATCCTGAAAGAAAATATATAAATAAAGCATTATTTTTTCCACATGTAAAAAAAACAGCTACTTTTAAGGAAACCAAAAGTTTTAATCAAAAGAAATGTTCTCAATCCTTTATTCAAACTAACATAACTCACATCATTTTTCAAATTGAACACAGAATAAATGCAATATTCCAGACATATACATAATTTAAGGCTGTTTTATATTTTATGTATAATAATACGAAAAAATTGATAATTACGGCAATATACAAATAGTTAGGTATTTAGCAAAAAAGTCATTAAATAGCTAAAAGAGACTGGCAGTACTGTAACTCATTCTTGAAAGGGCCCACTGGCATAGATATACATCTATGCCAGTGGGCCTATGAGTCTATCTTTCATCCTTTTAACACACCACAGAAGTAACAGTATATTGGCTTGGATGAACTTCCACAGAACACATGATAAATTATAACAAAAATTCAATTTTTAATTGAAGATATCCTGGGTTGTTCATGTTATCATGTATGCTGTTATGCAAATGAACTTTATGATTACCCAAAATCACCACCAGAGTACCTGAACCAGTTATATATTACTTGTGTTTTATCCTTTGTATTTCACTGTGTGGCCGTCAGCCATGATATGTTATACAGTCGACCCCCCTATAACGTACGTTCCTATAACGACAATTCCTATAACGTAGCGAAAAAATTGTAGAAACTTTCGTATAACGTACCTCCTATAATGTCGTTTCGCGAGAAGATTGATAGAGTCTGGACCAATAGTGGATGAGCAGCCGAACAACTTTCCTCCGACCCTGCACCATGCTACGGAGCGGCTAAATTGAGTTTGCTATCGTCTGTTTAGTATTATATATAAATTATATATAAATTAGGTACTGCACATATAATTATATATTAATTATATATAAATTAGGTACTGTATATATAATTATATATTAACTTAATTTATTGTAACTTTATTATAATTATATATATGCTTTCTGCCGCCTGGCAACACGCTACGGAGATTTTAGGCTAGTAAGTTGAGTTTATTATCGTCTGCACAGTATGTAAATTAGGTACCGTAAGTCTAATACAGCACTAATTTTATACATTTCTTGTGAAAGAAACACTTCTTATTCAACGGCCATAAAAATTATTTATATTAATGATGTCTCCAAAGGTCAAGTTATTTTTCTGCGAAAAATTCGTTATTAGAAATCGCGGCCGCCGTTTCATGTGCTGTTCCGCGATGAAAACCAGCTTTAAGCAACGGCGTAGTCGAACGGTACACACTCGGTAAGTAATCCTATAATTTTTTGTTTATAGCATAGTTTATACAGATTATTCCCAAAAAATTATACGTATTTTGGAAATGTTGAGTCGAATTAGTCTAGAATCGGTTAATTTTATAGAAGAAAACCTTTCGAACAGCCTTAGTCCGTAAAGTTCCCACCTATCGGGCTGCGATTGGCTCATGTATTTAATCATTCCTACAACGTAATTTTCGGTTAGCGTGGAACGTATCTAAGCATTATAGGGGGGTCTACTGTATTTTCCTATATTTTTTTGGTTATATTAGTATTAGGCTTTCCTTTCTCTTTGTCTAAAACCATCTAGAACTTTCGTTTCCCTAAACCTTCCTATAATTTTCTTTGTCTGAACCCTTCTTGCCCTTGGGGGGGATTACCCTTTTCGAAGAAATAATGAACAAAGGAGAAGGGAGTGAGGCCTGGAGGCAAAAATAGAGAGAAAGAATATTAGATTGAGTGGAGATCTCGAGCAGGCAGGAGCGAACAGAGAGGTGCTCCTACAAGTGAAGTGATCTGAGACAAAGCGAACAGAGAGAAAAGAAAAAGGAAGGACTGCAGACGGAAAGTCTACAAGTGAGAGGTGATAAAAGACGACTCAATCCGGAAGACGAAGATTGTAGACGAAAGGTCTACAAAATAAGAAGTGACCTAAGAACAAAAAGTGAGAATCAGAGAGAGAGATCATCGAGGGGAGGCCTCTTAGTCCGAAGTGTTCTCCAACCAAGGGCTCACCGAACCTAAACCCGGGTATTTCCACTTCTTTCCTAGTCTATCTCTATATTCTATATTCTTTCTTCTTTAGTCATAAGTTAGTGTAAGTTAGATTAAGTAATTTTGGTCCTCTTCAGGTTTTTGTCGCGTGAGCAATAGACAACTGTTTTCGAAGTGTACTATTGAGCACCGGTATACGCGTAAGATTCGAAAAATTGTAAAGTTGGGATCAAATAAACGAACCTGTTCAGTGAGAAAAATAATACTTTGTGTCGTGAGACTTTTTTTTTGGTACCCTTTTCGCTCGCGGGATCGCGTACTTCTCACTCTGAACACCACAACTGTATGTATCATACATATAACATGCACTGTACATCTTGGTTGCTTTATATTCTTCACTTTTATATCACTTATGTATATCTATATCAATCCATCATTTTTTATCATTTTAGTGAATGTTTGCATTCCATGTTCTTGTATGTTGTATATTTTAATGAGATACTATTTTTGAAACAATAATCACATGCATTTAGGATTACTTTTGTATTAAATAATAAAATAAGTAGATAATTTATATTTGTCTGAAATTTTAAATATGTTGATAAATCTATATCAACATGATAATAATAAACTGATACATATTGTTACTCAGAGCATTTAATAATAAAGTTAAAGTGTTTTTAAATGATAAACACTAAAAATAAATTTTGATAATGCTTACGTAGTATCTAGATATATTTCATCTATTGAACATTTTAAGAGTAAAGGATATTTTTCCATTTTATCAGTGGCACGAAAGTCTCCTGTATGCAAGAAACAACGTCCATCAGGTAAGTTAAATAAAAACATCAAGGAACCAGGACAACTGCAAATATATATATTTAAAAATTATAATCAAAATTTGCCATGAAAATATTTAAAATTTAATTAATAAATATGAGAACAAACTGATTTGCATCCAAAGCAGTTACTTCTATGCCATCAAGAATTATTGGCTCATTTATGTTTATAGGATGCAATAGATTTGTACAAACTTTAATTTTTAATGAAACCAAATTGGCTGTTACCTAATTGAAAAATTTAACATTAAAATTGTTATTTAATTTTAAATCTTAATTATTGTTATTTATAGAAAATAATGTACTTTACTTACTTTACTACAGTATAATGGATGTGAAAAGTTTTTTGTCAATCCCATATAATGGTCATAATGAAAATGACTGAGGAAATAGTATTTTATACCAGGTATTGAACCATAAGAAAAGGCATCAATGCAAAATGATGTATCTAAACAAATAAAAATATTAAATTTTTAATAAATAAAATATAATTTTAAATCATTATGTGAATATGTTTACCAGATCCAGAGAATTACATGACTGTATTAAGATTACAGTCACATATGACAAAGAGATTACAAAGTACGGCTTATGAGCTACACGTGACTCTCAAATGTTAGTGATGTGATTTATGCAATACATGTGACTAAATAATTCATATACTAAATGAAAAGCCTAGATATCACTATATCCTTTCAAAAATGATAAAAACAATATGTTAAAAATGGATATACAACATTATATATCAATATATATGCAGTAAATAATCTAATTAATAATAACAGAAATGCAGTACAGTACTGCCATTGCATCAATAGCATAACAGAGATATTGCACTACTCCATCATCAGCTCTTACATACAGCTCTTAAAGCCTATTTGGTTGTCTATTCTGATATACGATTTACATCTCTCCAGTATTAGTGAAATAAATATATATAAATTTAAATATTTAGATAGTTTCTTTTATGTCAATAATTTTTAAAAGATATAAAAGTTTAATTAATAAATTAGTAATTATTTGTGTACAATGTATTTACACAAATATGGCCAAAGAATTTTCTCACAATGATCATAGAAGAATTTTGTAAAAATATTTAATATGAATTGAAGAATCATTTTCATATTTTTAAAGTGAAAATAAGATTTAATTAATATTTATTGAAAAAAATATTGTTTTAAACAGTTCCAATATAAAACTGACAATAGAAAGATTACTGGACTTAATAAAAAATAGAAATAGCAAAAGAATAAAGATATTAACTAAAACACAGCTAAACACCTATAACCAGCAAACAAAATCAATATATTTTAAAGAAAACAAATGCTTTCTTCTGTTTTAAATGCACATCATCAAGCTACATAAAACAAAAATAAAATTGAATGCTTACTTGAAAAATAGAACATAACATTAAATTCAAAATTGAAATTGCCATAAATGTGTGCAATACAGTGTGGAAGTAACAAAAAGAAACATATTGTTTCAGTGTTTTCCAATTTCCTGATGATGAAGTATTAGGAAAAACTACATATTTTTTTAAACTTCAATTTGAATTTTTTTTTCTGTTAATTAAAATTTATAACACTATAAGCCAGTTTTAAATTAATCAATACCAAATGTGGTTTGTTATAATCAACAGATATAATCAAAGAAATAGAAATATTTAACTATTAAAAATAAAAGAACATATAATACATCATCAAATTTATAATTTTTTTATTAGGGAGAATAAACATGAAAAAAGTGGAAAAAAAATAAAATTGTTTTGTACAAGCAAATCTTTTGGTTTTGTTTTTCATGTAGTGCAATTAAGGATATTGAAGTAATTAAGCTGTCAGCTTCTCATTCAAGGGAAATGGAATTGCATTTAGGCAGTCAAGAAATCCCAGAAATTTTTCATTAAAACTCTGTCCTAGACATGCTGGGACCCCATCCCTCACCATCTGGCCATCCCCATTATAGGTCTGGTTAAACTCATCACAGATATAAAAATAGGGGGGCTCTCCTAATGCTGACAGTGCATGAAAAAAAGTAAAAATGTTTTGATTTATACTTTTAGTAATATTTTCATTAGCCTTGTGTTTTGGAAAAATCATAATTTTAAAATAATTAAGATCTAAAATCTTTATATAGATTCTATACTAAAAATTATTATTATGTTGCTAATGAAACATCATCTCAAAAATGTTTCAATTGAAAGTTTCAGACTTCTTGAAGATTTGGTAATAGTAATACAAGTCTAAGACAAAAGTATTAGACTATTCCAATTGAAATGTAACAAACAACTTTTTAAACCAGAATACACTAAGTGAAACAAATAGAAATGAATATAATAATACACAATGATTTACAGTCGACCCCCCCATAACACTTGATTATTCCATTTTATATGAATTCCATGTTGTACAAGTCCTTAGATTTTACAAATACTTGAGCCGTTCACAGCCCGGCACACGTATTTATAAAATCTAAGTGACTCGTACAACATGGAATTCATATAAAATGGAATAATCAACAGTGTTATAGGAGATCGACTGTACTAATGTCTATATAATTCAATATTTTAATGCATTGCTTGTTGCATGTTTTATTATAAAATTAAATAAAAAGCAAAAACAAATCAAAGACAAAATTATTAAACCACTCTAATGTAAAGACAATTATTATAGCATCTTGTCTAAAATCTGATTGGATGTCCTTTTGCATTGATCCATAGTGACATTCGTTGAATTAAATGTTGGCACAACTCAGATATTTCAGACCAGGATCATTGAATTGCATCTTTCAATTCCTCTTTAGTACGGGACTTTTTTGGTTTTTATTTCAAAACAGCCCATAGTTATTCAATTGGTTAAGGCAAGGACTATTTGCAGGCCAATCCAAATGAGAAATATGCTTAGTGTGAGAGTCGAATTTAGGGAATAAATCTATATATATATATATAAATGGACATGTATGTCCCTATATCTCACTTTTTCGCCAAAACTACACATCGCACGTGAATGGTGTTTGTATGTGGTGGTAGCCCCAAGTCTCCATTCGTGCATAGGGGTGGTTGCGTCTCGATAGCTATAAGGGTGCGGGAGATATGAGGCTGAAAGTGGTTGAAAGTGGCTTTCTATTTCGAATGTTTTGTTCGATTTTTTCGAATTTATTCCAATTAAATTCGAACATAAAATTCGAATTGGTTCGATTATAGAACGATTGAAAACGTTCCAGAAACGTTGAAATTTGTTCGTTTGACTAAACGTAAAAATTCTCTAATTAGTCTGGAAACGGGGGACCTAATTCTTGCATTTTGTGAAAACGGGTAAGATTAGCTATAATGTAATTATCTTAATCTTCACTATCGTTACTTTTTGCCCAGCGAAGCGGGTCCTTGCAGCTAGATTCTAGATTACTTAGAAAAACAGTCTTTTATATATATAAAAAAACTATACTATTACATACAAATAAAAACCCAGCGAAGCGGGATCTTGCAGCTAGTTGATAAATAAATTTTTTGTTGAGGGAGGAAAAGTTTAAAGAAATAAACAACAAACTGATATAAAAAAAGAACATAAAAATCTTTTCCCACGAACTTAGTTCCTTGTCAAGTATGATACATTGAATGTGTCACCCAAAATCTCGTAAAGACTATTGGTCAGTGGTGAAAAAACAGTCCTAATAAGGCAGTGGAAAAAATCCAACAAGACCCCTTTTATAAAAAGGAGGGGTCAATGCGTAAGAGTCAGTGTCTGGAGTTTAGTGCACTGTGAATTTTACGTGAATGGATTAGCCACTACCCGGAACTAATCAATTGCCGCTGTTCGGAAGGACTACGCCTAAACCGACTAACAACATTCGAAAGAACTTTGTGCAATGGGGAAAAAAGCATATCAATGTTCGAAAGAACTTTGTGAAGTCTAGAGACTCGAAGACGAAACGACTAATAGAAAATTTATAACAAGGTATTTATCCTCGCGCGAAATACATGTGAGCTCTCTCTCTCAGGAATACGGGTAACATGGAAGAAAATAGATATGTTAACTGAACCGATTGTATATAGCTTAATTCGAACAATAAACGGGCATTATGTATAGATTATGTAGAGTGTAATTCCTCTGATTCTCTCATTACGCCTCCATCCCAGAATTAAAAGTCCACAAACACGACCGTTTGTGTAACCAAAAGTAACGGCCGATAAAATTTTTCTGTCAGGATGACACAGGCGGTGTCATCCTCTTTGGCGCCCTGTCAGGATGACACAGTGGTGTCATCCTGACAGGGCGCCAAAGAGGTGCCGACCCTGTGGTCACAGTGGTGTCAGAAGTGGGATTTATTTTAGGGGAGATTCGAACAAAATTTGGGATAAATGGAGGCAAATCCCCAAGGGCGTCAGCGCGGAGAGGCAGGAGGAAGTACGCTTGCAGCAGGGGGTCTATCCGGAATGATTCCTTTGATTCCTACGTTTTCGGGAGATACAACAGGATTAAGGATAGGAGACTTCTTTGATTCCCTTGATGAAATCGCTAAATTAACTAACTGGATAAAATCTCAATGCTTGGGAGTGACAGGGCACCAAAGAGGTGCCAACCCAGCAGTCACACTTAGCCTGCACTCATGATGTTACATGGCAGCATCTTTGACATGATACATTACCATCTTGGAATATCCCCAAACTGTTCTTCAACTATAGGAAGTAAGTTACTGTTTAAAATGTCAATATATACCTCAGCATTTGCTATTTCATTACAGATGCATATTTTTCCTATGCCATATGATGACATGCATTCCATATCACAGATAATGGAAATTTCACACCCTTCAGGAGATATTCATCTTTAAATTCTGTTTAAAGATATTCATCTTTAAATTCTGAGCTGGTTCTGTTTTACAAACTGCACCTAATACTCTATCTTATCTTTTTGCTGTTTTCTTTGGTCTACCAGTTTTTTCTTGTTCTTGAACAAGAAAAAACTGGTAGACAAAAGAAAACAGCAAAGATACCTCATATATCTTTAAATTTGTTGAGTACATATTGTCATTACTTTTTTTACAATACTAAAAGATTTTTTAAATACTTACCTGGCACCTTCTTATAAAATGGGCAGTATCTCTTCCTCTGATTTAAAATTTTCTTATCTTGAGTAGCTAATAGAATATCTTTAGTACATTCCTCAGCTTTTATTTTTGATACTGACAAACCATCATTTGAAACAGTTTCTTTTTCCTCAAACATTTTGAAAAATGAAGTGATTTTAGACTGAACTTTACACTTTAATGAATTTGTTGCACTTAACTGCTGTAAATTTTTATTATTTATTATATTTAAATTCTTATAATATTCATCACTTGATTGCTTTTCTGTCTCATAACTATCTTCATGTTTAGTGTTTGAATTAATTGCATTAGTCTTATCATCATCATTATTAAAAAATCTCATTTTGATAGATTTTGTTTTCAAAGAGTCTAAATTTAACGACGAAGATCTTGTAGGTCTTTTAGCAATAGATTTAGGACTCGAAGAACATTTTCTTTTCCTTCCCCGTTTATTATTCATTACAGATTTACTCTTATTTTTATCAAAAGTGACCAAATTATTTTGATTTTTTAAAGTTTGCAAATTATTTGAAAACAGTTTATTGCTATTTTCATCTAGTATTATTTTCACATTACTTCTTAAAGCTGCAAAATGTGAAAATTTGCTGAAATAACTTTGAACAGTTGAATTGCAACAGAGATTTGGACATTCTGAAATTAAAAGTAAATATTAAATTATGAATTATTATATAAAAATAAATTTTGTTAATTATCTTTCAGTATTTGGCTATTCAGTATTCTACATTGTACAAAGATGAAAGATGACTAAACCAGTTAGGATATCAGAAAAAAATATTTCTTCTAGATCAGGGGGTGGCAAATCTATGGCACATAACACATCATACAATTTCAATTTATCATGTTTTTCTCAATCAGCTTTTTTCATTTATTCTAATTAAAGATTATCTTTTTATTCTTTAAAGCAGTGTTTTTCAACCGGGTGCCACAGCGCCACGATTGAGGTGTCGCAAAGTTTAGGGTCTTTAAGCATTTTCTTGGAATTTTACTTATGTGTAGTTCAAGATAACTCATTGTCAGTTCTATTTTGCTATGAGATATCTAGTAAGCAAAGAAACAATGACTAATTGCATGTTCGCACAACTTGTCATGAGTTCGCCCAAACCACATTGCTTGGCTTTCACATTCCCAGTCCCAGTACCAGGCCAACCAGCAGAGAACGACGTGGACACTTGTGTCTTGTACATACTTTAATTAAAAAGCATTGCATTGTACTTTGAAAAGCGTGTGGTTTCAATCACAAAGTAGGTGCATATTACAGTATTTTCATAGTATTCAAAAGCAATGATAACAAATAAACAATTTNACAAAGTAGGTGCATATTACAGTATTTTCATAGTATTCAAAAGCAATGATAAGAAATAAACAATTTATCATTTTTTTAATTTAAATTTTTTAAATTGATATGAAAAAGATAAAAAAAAGTAATGAAACATTTATTTTATGTAAGCATCAAAATAGTATAAAAAACTTAACAAAAATTGTTTATCAATAAAATGATAATATAAAATTATGATATATTTGATAATAAAACTAGATTTAAAAAGAAATAGCAAGACTATTATTTTACATGTAGTTATTTCGACAAAATTCAATGGACTTAAATTTTGATTTTTAACATGTAAAATGCTACTTCAAGTTGTCAATTTTTAAAATTTTTCTTCACCACCCCAGCATTGCACATAATATTCATTTTCACAAAAAATTCATCTGGCCCATTAGTTCCCCCTTATTCAGATTCTAGATCCGCTGCTGGTCAAGAGTGTCACGGTTTTTTATTTTTCAAGCAGAGGGCACCTCGAAAAATAAGGTTGAATGAATGAAAAAGGTTGAAAAACACTGCTTTGGCATGCATAAACATCTTTAAAGCTAAGTATTCTTACTATATGGCATGTGGGCTCAAAAGTTTGCCATCCCTGTTCTAGATTATTAATTTACGTATAAATATATGTGAAATACCTAAAAGTTAATTTCTACCAAATTTTTATTCTTTAAAAAGCAAGTTTTTAAATAATGTTTTTAGAAATTTAGATACTACTGAATATTAATTTATTTTATGCTTAAGTCGCATCATTTGTACTTCCGAATAAATTATAATCACCTGGAAGAATATTTTCATTAATTTGAATAATTCATGTAAATGACTTTCAATAAGCTGTCTGGTAAATGCTTCGACAGGTAATTAGCATTTCGGAGAAACTTTCATATTCTTTAGTTGTGTAGTTTTTAAGCATAATTTTAAGTAACGTTTTAAAGCTCGTTAATAATAGCACTTAAACATGACAGTTACTAATAGAAAAAGCCCGCGAAATATTAAGCAACGAATTCCCACCTTCTTTACATGAACCACCTAGCGTGAAAAATTAAAAAAGTTTTAAAAATTTTTTTAAATAATACTATAATATTAAAGTATAATTTATAAATACCTAAATAAAATTTTAGCCAAATAATATTATGTTTTAAAAAAAATTTGTGTATATGTTAAAAAATAATAAAATCTTCGTTAAGTCCTACCCCTTTTGAGATATGACACAATATCGCTTTATCTCCTCACCTTCTTGACCTTTAACCACAAAAATATAGTGGCCGGATGGCTAAGTGGTAAAGGTAGCTCTGGATCCCGAGATCGAATTCGGACGAGTCCAAAAATCCCCAGGAATTTTTCGGGATGATTTGATCGGATATGTCGGCCCCCATCTCTCACTACCAGGCCGCCCCATTGTGGGCCTGGCAGAACAAAAATGGACTTGCTATTCGGATTACGATCACGGGTTCCCCAGAAGCGGTAAGTTGTCACTTTGACCGCTCGGCCATCCGGCCTGACTTCAGTACTTTCCCTTAGTTATGTTTAGAAAACATCCGGGAAAGTAAAAGATATGAAAGTACATTTTATTAGCTAGAAGACAGTACATTTACTTCTAAAAAAAATCACCATTTACAATTTTACGTTTCTTCCAACGGTGAACGGTGAATTCTGACGGTCTTTTTTTGATCCACGACCTCACTGCATCCTTCATCATCCATGGTGAATTGAATCCTTCATCATCCATGGTGAATTGAATTGAATGTTAGATTATAAGCTCAGTAAATTTTTAAACACAACACACACGTCTTCTCAAGTGTTGAATCAATCTGTCTACGAGCTTTCAATGCTTCTCATCAACCACATAAACTGATCGATTACTGCGAGGTTCATCTTCTATTTGCTTTTCCAACTCCTGATGCACGAAATTTTCTTTCTCATCTATTCACAGTACTGAAATGAACTAAAAAATCCTTTAGGAATGAAATGTGTGAAAGTTCTGAAATGTACTAAAAATCCTTTATAAACTGCAATGCGTTTTGGATTAAATTTTTTAAATCACTCTTCTAGCTTCTGACACATTAGTCAACTTGTTTCCAACTTGTTTTCTCCATTATTGGGAAAGAAAAAAAAAAAAAGACGTAAGGTTTCACTAGTCTTATGTTTTATAACTGAATTTTTTAAATTCATTTTTTATTTAGAAATTCAAATTTTTGATGATGACACTTCTGGTTATACACGTATCAGCGTCAAAGTCCAATAGCATTAAGGATCGAAACGTTCCGTTTTTAATTGAATATAAAATTTTCGAATTCGAGTTATTCCACGAATTCAAACTTTATTCGAAGGAAAATAATCATTCGATTTCGATACCCTTCTGGAAGCAATTTATATACGATTCGGTAAAGTGTGTTAAATGTTAAATTATTGAAAAACAGTGTTTATTTAATCTACTTGAATAAATTTAATTAACATAAAAATTTATTTAGCAGTTTTGAAACATGATTAGAAAGTGGTTAAAGTTCTGGGTTTTGGTATTGTTGTCCGTGGACATTTCTGCGAAAGAAGAGAATTTTTACAAAAATTATAGAATTGAGGGTATCAATAAACGTTCGTACCAAGATGCAGATTCAACGGAACACCCGGAACACAGTGGATTCACAACGGAACAAGAAGAAGGAATTTTAGAATTGATCAATTCAGTCAGAGGGCGAGATCGATATAATCAAGTTTCAAATCTAATGAGAATGGTAAGTTAACCAGACGGATCCCGGACGATTCAGAATTTCCAAAGCAGTTGGATGCCATCTCGGCCGCTCGGCCATTGGCCCACTTTAAAATAATTAAGAAATTCGGTTATAAGAAGCGGGCGCGAAATCCTTTCTATTGTCTTAGATCTTTTGACTCGTTTCATTAAAAAATTTTTATAGTTCTTAATTATACGCGTATATAACGTTTTATAAATTTATCTCATTTAATAACGGATAAAATTAATTTTTTTTAAATTGTTCTTTTATTTATTAGCATAAAACTTATTTTAGACTAGAAGAAGAAGACGAATTTGTGAAATGACAAATTTCTTCAAATAACTATGGCATTGTCCGTAATCGGCTTTACCATATTTATGAGACGTGTTGCTTCATAGAGTAATATGAACGAAATAAGATAATAATAAGCCTCATAAACTGGAATATTGTATAAATGAAAACAGTTCTAGTCTCTTCTAGTTCTAGTTTGATTAATAAAATATCGTTATTGGAAAAGGCTAGAACTGTTTAGCCTACATTTTATACTAAACTTCAGTTTATGAGTATTATTATTAATGTGATTACATTGTCATCCAAAGAGTACTTTAAGTTAGCAAAGAAAATAGTATGAACAGCGTTAACTTTTCTCCAAAAATGTAAACTTAATAAATATATCCTTCCTTAGTCTGAAACATCAAGCTTTCGGAAAACTGTGTATCCATGCAAGGAAAGATTAGAAATACCGGTAAGTGCATGAGAAAAATTATGCGAAGAACAAGACGGCTAAATATGCAATACTAAAAGTTTTACACTTATGAAAAGGTTTCCATAACACATACTGATCCTCCTCCTCCCTACTCCAACAAGCTAATACAAAGCAGTAGCAGCTTTACAAGCAGAGTGGAGATCAATCTTAGAAAAAAGTACAATCAAACGATGAAATAATTGGATGTGTAAATGACAACTTCGAAATAAACTTATCATATTAATCAGATATGTTGAGATGAACTTATTCCTCAAAATGCTTAGTCTAAACCATAAAGAATGGCTCATCATTTACAGTTCACAACCGACTTAGGTCGAAAATGTCATAGGCGAGATGAAAAATCCACTCGCTTCACTCAATGAACTCGAGAAGGAGACCTATAGAAAGGAAGCAGCATTGATATTAGTATACCAACATATCAAAAACAGTCAGGAATGGTAATCAATTCCAGAATGCAAAGAATGAATTACTTTAGTTTTTACTGAAGCAGATAAATCCAAATTTATGGTTATTACGCAAGTACAAGATACGGATTGCGTAACGTAAAAGCGTGCTGTTGTTTTACACAGACGTGTAATCAAGGTATTTCTATCCGAGTTAGCTAACCAACTCCCATCACTTAAAAAGATAAGCATGCTCTCGCAGGCTATACCTATACTTGTCTGGTTCGCTAAGACATACAAGCCAGGTCAACAGTTATGTCCAGTAGTCGAGAAATGTGCATTCCAAACGACTTTTTAGAGAAATACATATTCAGGCTCCTAAAAGCTCAGATATAGAAAACCGGTTTATGCGTCAATAGCCATCGCAGTTAGTCGGAGAGTTACAGTAGATAGAGTACAGTACATCACGGTATTGGATTATATGAAAATTTATACCCTTCCATTAAATTCCAATTTTGCTATGGCCGGTTACTATCGGAATTAAGTAGACGCATAAACGGGTTGAGCATAGACCTCTAATCATTGATAGAAATAATAAAATTACTGTATTATGTTACACGTCTTTCTTTAAATTCGAAGAAAATGTGTATGTTCAAAACAGCTTGTCCCTATGAACAGTCTCATGGCAGACATACTATGAAAACTCATACTAAGGGATTTGAAAAATACTGTCATTCCCGAAATACAGAGTAGTATTTTATTCTACAAGCGTTACATCGATGACGTACTAATTATATGGATCACAAAGCGAGACGTAGACAACTTGTCAACATAATCAACAATAATCAATACAGATTAAATGTAGCCCTATACCAATTTATAAAAATAGGGCACACTTTCTAGATCTAGACACAACTCTTATAAATGGGGAGATTACGCACAAGTGTATATGTTAAAATAACATCCCATACTCTATATATTCCCAGCCGCTAGAATGATCCACCCAGGAATAAAACGGTGGCTTTCAGAACCCTCGTCATATCCACTGCACTGAAAGAGTTGAACAAAATCAGAGGCATAGTGGCCGTACACTGGTTTAGCTCATACCATTAATAGTTTAATTAACATATACACGTGCAGTAGACTCCCAAGAAAGGCAGACCCCGTCATTTAAACCGACAGGGAGTTACCAACACCGTCTAAGTATCAATGCGTAGTCTACATCAAATTCTATTTTCCTTACATATATTTTTATTTATATTTTATTTCGTTTCATNAGAAAAGTTGATTTTAAAAATTTTTCAATCACTTGAAAGTGAACATCCGTTTGACATTTTTCAATAAATTATTATATATTTTTTTTCGTTTATTTTCATTCATAACGACGTTAACTGATTTTTATACATTTTTATGATCATGTACCATTGTAATTTCTTAAGGGGGATGATTTCAACAGAGACCCTATAAAATATTGCCTTAATTATAATAATACTATTGTTCGAGAAGAAAGTTTGAAGTGTACCTTTCAAAGTCACATTGATTGCTGCGCTTGAAATAATTTACAAAATTATTATATATTTTTTTTTTTTTGTGTGTGTGTACATAAAGAGAAATGTAATTTTATTATGATCTTTAATAACTTTACAGGAATGGAATGAAAACTTAGCGAGTATCGCTAAGAAATGGAGCGATCAATGCAAAATGGAATTCGGTCCTTCTTCGTGTAAGAAGAAATTCAGTCAAAATAGAGGTATCATCAGCAATTATCTCCTCGATCAATTTCGCCAAATAAATGATTGGGCAGATGGTTCTAATTATACTTACAAAACCAATACCTGCAATGGTATCTGTGATTCATACAAAGTGGTAAGTTTTAGAATTTTATATTTGAAGACTTGCGTTGAATAACATTGCAAGCGACAAAAATAGCCAAATTGAATTTTTATAATAAACTGTACTCTGCGAAACGATGTAACGAATATACAATTCGTTGCTCATTTCGCAGAGCCATTAAAAAAATCCGACTGGTTTACCCTGAAAAATGATTACGTCTTACCAACTTTATGGAAAAACGTTGTTTATGCATAGAAAATTGCGGACTAGTAGGCGTTCTTCTTCAGAACTGTGAATCGTGAATACAAAATTTAGAAAAGAAGGCATCGTCAACCCTCAAATTGAAACTGCAGAAGGACTCAAGAAATGAATATTTGTTACACACTGGAAAATTAAGCCAGCTGTAAGCACCCGATTGAGGTAATGGAAAAACGTTGCAAGCGCCTTAGCGCGAATTTTGAGCATGGAGCATATAAAGAAGAATGACATAACTGAGGACAAAGCATCTGAAAATTACTGGGCGATGTGAGTTCAAATGACCCCTGCTGTCATTAGAATAAGATGCCCCAAGATGATTTACAGCCATGAGATGCAGTTTCCTTACTGCCTTCGACGAGAAATCGTTCATACAATGAAGTTCTGAATCGTTTTATCGCCTCCAGAACATTTATCTGCCATGTGCATACAATAGGCCGCTTCCAATGAAAAGTGTCAAGAAGAAGGATGAACCTACCGTTCATGTACAAGTTTCTGAGTCCAGAAAATGCAGACTTTTACAGATCTCTAAAATCTGATGTAATAATACTGATTAAATTGAAATAAAACATAACTTTTCATTTGACAATCTGAAAATAAAAGTATTTTCACACACGACTTGCGTCATAAGCAACGTTTTCCTATTAACTTTTCTTGTAAGTACCCTAAAACATGGAACTTATAAAATGCTATATCATAAATGAGAAATGAGAACATCGGTTACAAGAGAGTTAACTGAAATCATTGTTTCAACCGTTCCAGTGCAATTTAGGGGTTTTCCGATTTATCTGAAAACGCTATTTTGGAACTTGCAACATTATTCGAGGCGAGCCTTCATTTAATGTTAAATTTCATAAATATTGTTTACTGTAATAAATTTAAATTTAAAATTACTAGCTGATGTGGGCCGAAAGTTACGCAGTTGGTTGTTCAAAATCGAAGTGCAAGAATTTTAAACAGGGATATTTTATGATATGCAATTTTTATCCTCCGTGAGTTCAAATTAATATATTTTTATTTCCTATATTTTTCCTATATATATATATATATATTGTCATAAAATAAAGTTTTACTTGGCGAAGTTTTGCAATACAAGAATACTATAAGGCCTGAAACAAAATATTTTTGTTTTGTGTTTAAAGTACTCTCCTCTGGCTTATGTAGTCGCTCCTTCCAAAGATCAAAATCATGAAGCCACTCACTTTATGGAAAGCTATTAAAATACCCTGTCAGAGAAGCATCGATTTCATCCTGTGTGTCAAAGGAGATTGATGAAATTTGTGTATGCATAATGTGTCATATGAAGTTTATTATTTAAAAAAAAAATAAACACGAATTATTGAAGTTTATTATTAAAAAATATTCATTATGGATGGTTTTCTTGTATTGCAAAACTTTTAGGGTAACCCCCATATTTCCTATTTATTCTTACCTCCTTTCTCTCTGCGTGTCCACCAGTGGCAGAATGCATAAATCCATGGAACAATACTTATTGAATATATCACCAACAGGCTAGCTGCATGTTTTGGAGATACTGCGGCCTTGCAGCCTAAAAACTTCACGCCAGCATCAAACGTAGAGGGTACTGTAGCCAAACGTACGCCGTTCAGAGGGATACTACCATTCTCTACTATCTATCTCCTCTTCTTCCTTTCCCTTACCCTCTTTTTCGCTGGCTAAACACTTCATGTATGGCCAAAGTCATTCTTGTATGTATGCTGTATTGCATTGTTATGTCTCAACAACGTAATTACTGCTTCAATAGAAACACAATTCACATATTTAGATTTTAATATGTTTAGACTTTTAGAATAAATAATGTGAAATTCTTAATAATTAACGGAGTTAATGAAAACGAATATTAATTTAATGTATTATTAAAATTTTCTTAATATTTATTTTTTTCTGTTTTGTTTAGTATTCCAGATCTAGGTTTGCAACCATATAAAGTAGGAAAGGCCTGTGCCGATTGTCCAAGTGATTCTACCTGTGAAGAAGGATTCTGTGGTCAATATAATTTGTGATTATATTAATTTTTTGGTTTATTTTATATTTTAGACTAAAAACATTCCAAATTTCCTTTATAGTTAAAATGGATAAAAGTATTCCCAAAGAAATATTCGCCTGTAAAGAAAGCATAGATGACGATGAAGGAAATGATAGCAAAGATGACATGAATGGAAAGAATGCTACAAGTAAGTGAATTTCTTTTTATGGATTTCAAATCAATATATATTTTGCTAAATTTTCTTTCTGACATTTATTTCTTAATGTAATTGTGTTGCAGCTGGATCCGGAAATCGACCCATTGCCCATATAGCGTCCTTGCTCTTATTAGGATTACTGTTTCCATTACTGTTATAAATTTAACAAATATAATTTAATTAAATATGTAAAGCAAAATTCAGTAAAAATTGTTAATTTTAATATTTTAAATATACTAATAAAGTTACATTCTCAAGTAATTGATTAATTTGTCAATGCAATGAACCTTTGCAATATATTTGAGGAAGAGCGTTAGCGAAATCTCTTTATGTGGCTTATAGGATCAATATCGTTCTTAAAACTTGGTGAATCGATTTTGATTAAACTGCCGTTTTCCATTAATTGCGATGAGGAATCTAAAACTTTAATAAAAAATGGAAATCCACGACATTGTTTTCGAGATACAGTGGCGACAAAGTGATAATGTACAATGGCGCGATTGTACATGCCTAAAATAACGAAATAAAAAAAAAAAAACATTGCACACGCCTAACGAAAATGGGCGCGAAAAACGAACATAACTGAACAACAACTGGCATCGATTGCTTTGTTCATGTGTTTTGTTCTTTCTTTGGATTGCCTCTCTGTGGGCGGCAGACACAAGGATAGCCTCCTCCGTGGCGGCAAATGATTGTCTGTCCATGTCCGGCCAGATTTTGAATACGCCCATAGCCAGAAACTGGGTAATGGGCGTATTCAAAATCTCAGCGCGCAGCCAACACCCCACAGCACCCTTGTTCAAAATCTCAAGCGACTTTCCAGTTGATTTTTTTTAACTCTTTTCGCCTTGTGGGCACTGAGAGGGCATCTTTTAGCAAGCCCCATTATGGGTTCGGTTAGACCCATAATAGGGCGGTCGGGTGGTAAGAGACAGGCCCGACATATCTGGTCGGACCAATCCCGAAAAATTCCTGGAGCTTTTTCAACCTATCTGGATTCAATCCCAGGTCCCTCAAAGCGGTAGGCTGCCACCTTGACCTCTCGACCATCCGGCCATGAGTGGCAATACGAAATTGCATTGCGCTTTTGACAAGATGATCCGAATTCGTTTCTTATTTGGAATTACTGTAATTACAAACATAACAACTTTTTAAAGAAAATATTATAACGGATGGGGCCACACGTAGTTTTAAATGTTGTTGGGAAAGTTAAACAACTCATTGGTAGATTTTTACGAACGTTTAAGGAAAAAGAATTTTGTCAAATTCAAAAGTTCGATGTCATGTGATTACATAAACTGGATATACAGTGTAAGTATGTAGGGATTCATATTTACTACTGTATAACAGTAGTAAATATGAATCCTTACATATTTAGTACTGTTGCTGTTCGAGGCATAGGATTGTGTATCAAGAAATGTGAATTTTGTATTGTGTTCATCTCCGTTGCCGGAGGCGTTTTCTTTCCATGCTGTTTGTCGATCTTCGCCATGTTCTGTAGCACAGAAGTCAGTTCTTTCTGTATTTGTTCATGTATTAAATACAGTTTTATTTTGGTAAATAAATATCATTGTGCATTATTTTTTTCACATTTAATGATATCAACAGTTAAAATACCTCATCTGAATATTCACATCTTACAGTTCTTATAATATTTATAAGTAAACCTCTTATTTTTCGGATTGATAAAGGCAAAGAAGTGCGGTCGCATGACGTCATACGAAGCATTTAATACGGCCAGATTGTATGGAAAGCTTGCGGTATCCAGTCAGCATACATGTATTGTGTACAGCGGTTGATCTATATAGGGAATTATTTCATATATTTCCTGTGTAGATATAACGGACTTTATAATAGTCCATACTTTTTTATTCACGCCAAATAACGTTTCCGCCTATTGTTCAGTGCTAGAGATAGGCCTATTATTGTTATTACAATTTTCAGCATGCCCAAAAATTTTGGTCAGGATTCACCCCTGACTGTATTACATATCAAGAAAATGCCCGAAATAAATTCGATCAGCAAAAATGTTATTATGTCAAGTTCCAGTCAGACATGAAAGTCGGTATGTCTAAAGAATAAACACAAGAAATTAACAATTGCAAAGATCCAAACTCTATATTCAAACTCGTAAAGAGCAAACAGGGTGTTTTTTTTTTTTTATAGCCAATCTTACTCGTTTTCACAGAATTCAAGAATTAGGTCCCCCTGTAGCCAGACTAATTAGAGAATTTTTAGATGGGTCTAAAAATATGTTCGATTTCCCTCAAAACCGCAAAAACCTCATCTGAGCCTGTAAGTCTTGCACATCGCTTTCTCTTAACACTTCCATTGTTACTTAACACTTCCCCATTGTTAACACTTTCATTCTTAACACTTCCATTGTTAAGGAATACACTTCTTTTATGCCCACGTAATAGGGTACCATATTTAATGGTACCCTACTAAAACGCAGTTAAAAATAAAAAAATTGCATCTAAAATAGTGCAGTAGAAGCTGAGTTCTTTAGGATAAGCCTTAATCCTTTCCCTCTCCCCCGGGGGGGGAGGAATTTCGAAAAATCCCTTCTTAGTGTACGTTCTCGTGACGTACCCTAACTGTGTACCAAATTTCAACTTTCAACTTCTAACCGTTTGGGCTCTGCGCTCATTATTATTATTATCAACCCATCTCGATTATAAGATTTACAAAATTGACAAAATCACATCGAGCGTAGCATCGCCATATATGAAGATTTCGTTTAGTTATTCCCAAAATGCTAGGAGAAATTCATTTTCTCTTGCTATATGGAAATGTTAATCGAAACAGCGCTTCAGATTCTTCACGGTACAACACTGAAATATCCTTAGAAATCTCGAAAATGAATGCTGTCGGGTGTTCTTGGTTTGTGCAAAATTCTATTTCCATAATTATCATAAAATTTTCACACTTAAGCCATAAAACCACGTCAAGGTGACACCCACTTTCTGGTGGTTTTTTTCTTATCCAGAAATCAATCCTACTTGCTTGACAGTGTAGCAAGTAGAGAGAAAAACTGGATCGCGCGGGAGGTCATCATAAATAAAACGACCAATAATGATTTTTGTTCTCTTTCTTCCCCTCTATCCATTCGAACCCAATAATAATGAGTCGGTCTCAAGATTTATTTTAAAATGCTTATGTAACACAAGCATTTTAAACCTTGTAGAGTTAAGCAAAAAAATGGAAAACTTAAGCTATTAATATTCATTATGATATGGGACTACCGCTCTGTCCTTCCTACTTTCCGTTAATCGCATTCGTTCCAAGTTTAGGTAAATGGATTTCACCTCCGAATGTATTTTGCGGATTTCGTCTTCCTTTCCTTAGAGGACGACGATTCTTCAAAGATCCACTTTTCATTCACGTAACAACTTTCCTGAACCGAAAATGGAAATTCACACTATTATGAAATCAATGAATCAGAAGGAATTACAATTACTCCGTAAGCCTTTATTTGGGATTAAGCATCCGACAAAAATGTTTATCTTTCAGGAGCAGCTGTTGGGAGAGTTTTATTAAAACTTTACCTAAGAACAAGTGAAGTCTTCCGTGTGTTGGCTACGTATTTACTTATCTCTCACAAATAGAAAATTACATGCGAGATATCGGGATTAAATCTGCACTTTAAGGCGGATAGACAAATACACTGTCTCGAAACCACATATTTTTCCTATCTCCATGTTATCTTTACCTTTCACGTGTCCCTTTTCTCTTTTATATTAAGAATAATTACCGTTAGAATCAGACATGCACTAAATGCCTTCAACACTTACCTTGTCAGACATTCGAATTTATAAATTGAACAGTAATTGGAGTGTCTGGCGAAAGTCACAATATTTTCGAGTTAAAAATCTAGATAAAAGATGGCTTGTGATCCGATATTGTAGCAGATATTCGTTCCCTATTTTAGAATTTATGTAATTTTCCAATAACGACCGAAGTGTCACGCAAACCGATCCACATTTTGTTTGAAATGAAAATTTTACCTTTACAAAAAGTAATTCTTCACAAACAATCACAAGAACGACAGCATTCTATTGTTTCGGAAAACAATACTTTAACATTATTTCGATTTCTTATATAAGAAATAAAAAAAAATTTTGATGTTATTTAAACTTTTTAGCAATTAATTCAGCACTATAAAAAAATAATAATGCCATAAATATAAATGTATTTTCGAGACCTTGTCTTCCTTTATTTGTTTGTTTCTTCACGACTAGGTGCATAAATAGACACAAGGCATTAAAAAATGCCTTGTGTCTATTTATGCACCTAGTAGTAAAGAAACAAACAAATAAATATAAATATTAATGATATTTACGAATAAATAATGTTCAAAACCGAATTAAAGTAGTATTTATAAGCAGTCCTTTAAAAAGAAAAAGCAATAACAAAGTTAAATACGAGAAAATTTCGAATATTTATAGCCGACTTTTCCTATGTTCAAACTAAACTTACGCTGCAAAGCGATTTCAGCGCTCGAAGTGGCAGAAATATTTATTACACTACTTTCGTAGCATTATCCCGGAATCCGGCTGTTTTTTAATTTCTTACAAGTTCACTTTTTTCTTATTTTGTGTTAAGGTTGAGGAAATTTTGCAAATAAAAAGTATAATTAACTCATAAACTGTCAGAATGCATTTGTATTTATTCATTTTAAGCCCACTTATTAGTTTTTTTTTTTTTTAAATTTTTGTTCGTTATGGCATGTCGCAAATTGTCAATAAAAAATGAGGTCCACCAGTGGCCAAGCGGTCATCGTACCCTGAACACTGTCTGGTCGTTCGATCGTGGGTTTGTGCCTCGTTCGGACGGGCTGGCCACGTGGAGTTTTACGGGTTTTCTCCACGTCTGTAACGCCTAAATAGGGGCCAGTTTCCCTTAAAAAGACCTCCCGGAAGGCAGATCGCCAAAGAGTTGCGTTGCCATAACAAAACAAACAAGTCAATAATCAATACATAGCTTATTTGTGGCAGGACTCTGAAAATTTTTTACTTATCAGATCCTGTAATATTGAATAATTGAGCCGATTCTATCTTAATTTTTAACCATGCCCGGTAGCTTGAATAACTGCATTATGCCAGGTTGTGCAAATTGGGCAAGGATACAAACGAGTACGAAGTTTTTCTTCATAAACCCGATTATTAAAGCTAAACGAATTACCAAATTAACGGTCTATAAGCACGATGCCTCTATTAAAGCAAGCCAAGATAGAGAAATCAAGAATACTAGACAGCAAGAGAAGTAGTGTTTACGTAATTCAAAGGTAATTTTTAATATATATTTTACACAGCAATATTAATATTATTATTATTATTTTGGAGGTTGCAGGACATATTAAATTATTTAAAAAATGAAAAAATAATTATATCATTTTGATTTCAAGATTTATTTTATATCAAAAATAATCAATTATATCCTTGTTATATCACTAAGAAAAATTGATATCTTTCCCGGGAAATCCCGGGAAACAGATCAATTTTCCCCGAAATCCCGGGACAAGCAAAGAACCGGGAAATGGGAAATCTTAATTAGAGTCAGAGACACTGTGGATGATGACTAAGTTAATGCATTGGTGCGTACATAGAGCAGAATTTAAAGGTTTTGCTAAAATACTTGCTATTCTGTTAACTTTAATAATATTCCAAGAGAACGTACGAGAAGTTGTAGCATCGAATACTACGTCTTGCCATAATATTGTGTGTTTAAATGGATATTGCCAAGACGGACGTTGTCTATGTGATCGAGGTTGGCAAGGTTCGTTTTGTCATCGATGCGGAGGACGGGTTAGGTAATGGCCTTTATAAGTAACTCATTATGTCAATTATACAGATTAAGGGAATATAAGTTTTTTTTTTATTATTTTGTTTTATTTTAAAAAAGGAGGTATATTTAATATACATTTATAAAATGCAAAACATTTTCTCGGACGATTTATATATAAAGTGTTATAAACAAAAAATTATAAGACTACTTATCGATTGTGTCTCGTTCGAGACGCCATTGCTTAAGGAGCCGTCTATAAATTACGTAAAAGCAATTTCGGCCATTCTAGACCCCCTACCTACCCCCGTGTAAGAAACCGTAATATTTTCTTTGATCCCCCTCCCTTTCTCTATCATACGTAATATTTAGGCATGATTTCTTAGAAAGATTTTAACAAAAAAAATTTTTTATGAAACCCTAAAAACCTTAGGTCCAAAATATATAATTATTAATTAGTTAATTAATATGTACTATCATTTATAAAATACTTTATGTGAACAAATTTTAAGAACTTTATTTTTTAATTATTAATTTAACAATCTTTTTATTATTATTATCATTAATCAACGTCATAATTTTCATTTTTATATTAATTTTAATTTTCACTCGTCCATGGATTTTTCAGCCAATTTTCAAGTGATTTCAATCACAGGTAAAGAGTCTGATTCAAAAACTTTATCGTTTTTTTAATTCAAGAGATTCTGTACTCTCAACATCATCTTCAGACATCCGTTCAGCATCCTCCGCTAACGTATCATCGTATGTTATTACACAAAGTATATATTTTTCTTTTTTTTTTGGAGCAAAATACATAAGACGTAGAGTAAGTTCTTCCTTTTATTTGTGACTATATGGTAGGACTAAAGTAATCATATGGCAAATTATTCTGATTTTCGGTTTGCGATAAAACAAACGATTCGAGGTTTAATCTTTGGAATAAATGCATGAATCTTGCATCTTCATCAGCATGATTCATTGTCTGAGGCACCTTAAGTAGCCCTGTTATTTCATTGCGAGTAATTTGGCAAAGAGCAGGAAGAAATCCAGTAGGCAAAATCGTACGAATATTACTTCTAATCAAGCCACAACACTCAACATCATCGCACTTAGTTATCTTTAGAAATAAATAAAAAAAAAAAGGCATTATTTAAAATTCTTTAAAATCGATTAATAATTTGAGCCTAAATTCAATTTACCCGTAGAAGATATTGAGATTCGCGTACGTGTTTAATATACCAATCATGGTTCAATTCGTCAAAACTCTCTGTACTATCTGTAGGTTTAATGAATTCGGCTATCACGGTATGACCATCGATAACCATTTTCACTCCAAATACTAGCAAGAGTGCCTCCAGCAGCTTCGAAATTTTTAAGCTCCGAGTTTTTGTCAACAGTCTTTCCAGAACTATCTAAGTGATTGCCAAAGTAATCGTGTTTTAGAATTACACCCGAAAGTTGGTCACTAAGAGGTGCCATCTTCCTCTCTCTACACGATTAAAAGCGCTACTACCTGGAGCAGTGCATCGAGTTTGAATTTTTTGGAGTGCTGAATCGCGAAAGAAATGACTTTAAAATATCTGAAAAAAAATTACATAGAAAAAAAAGTTAACTCCACGTGATTCAGGATTCAGCGAATAAAGTACCATGGAAAAGCATGTTTTTGTTTATAAAATCTAAAGGTTTTTATTATTTATTTCAATAAATATAATATGGCTTATATCATTATCCCGTTGCCTATGAGAATTTATCTTTTGAACTTTTATTTGTCGACATTTTTCCTCCTGACAGTGACTACGAATCGGGTCATGTGAGGATGCAATCATTCAATGATAGTGAAGCACATGCCAAAGAGTTACCGGCAAACACAGAATCATCTGTCATCAGATTCTGTGTAATTTATCTATCTCTCTCTCTATATATATAAATGGACGTGTGTGTCCCTATATTTTACTTTTTAGCCAAAACTACACATCGCACATGAATGGTGTTTGTATGTGGTAGTAGCCCCAAATCTCCTACATTCGAGCACTATGGTGGTTGTGTCTCGATAGCTATAAGGGTGCGGGAGATATGGGGTTGAACTTTCGAAGTGGTTGACTTCGAAGATGTGTAACAATGGAAGTTGGCAAAGAGCAGGAAGAAATCCAGTAGGCAAAATCGTACGAATATTACTTCTAATCAAGCCACAACACTGAACATCATCGCACTTAGTTATCTTTCAATGCATTTCAATTTATGCATTTCAAAAAAAAACATGTTATTATTAACATGTTAACAATGGAAGTGTTAACAGTGGAAATGTTAACAATGGAAGTGTTAAGAATGGAAATGTTAACAATGGAATTGTTGAGTAACAAAGGAAGTGTTAATATAAAGCGGCATGCAAGATTTACAGGCGGTTTTTTGCGTTTTTGCGGCTCCTTGCAGCTTCTGGATTACTTAGCAGATTCTGGATTACTTAGAATAAAAAAAAAACTATATTACATACAAATAAAAACCCAGCGAAGCGGGTCCTTGCAGCTAGTTCTATGTAAAAATGGAACAACCAAATGGTATGAAGAACCAATGTCCATCGTAGAAATGACTGTATAACATTATCTTGTATTGATTTTTTTCTATTGATTTGCTGTAAAATATAATGTTTAGGTGCTTATTTAAAAAAAACCCATATTTTACGAAAATTAGAAAAAAAAACAACCCAGAAACCAAGAGAAGGTCAAAAAACCCAGATCTGGGTTTTAAAACTAAGTAGTGGTAACCCTAGTGGAGATGCACGTTGGACGGCGGATGCAAACAAACCATGTCACGTGACACGGAAACGCGTCAGAGATGTAGTCACGTGTCACGTGACACGTGACTACATCTCTGACGCGTTTCCGGACAGCTTTTCTTTTCGCGGAAAAATCCGTGTTTTTTCACTATACTATGTAGGCATCACGTGATAAAGCAACGCCGTCTTATTATTAACATGTGATTACCTCTTTTGTGACTTCGAGCAGCCCGCGGACCACAGTTCGACGAATTTGCTTGTTACGCTTCCATAGCACAGTAACGTTCTATATCCAAATCCGACTTAAGATTTGACAACGACGATTTGTTTTTCGATATTAATGACAACTTTATTCTTTTTGCCATTTTATAATAGTTAAAAATAAAATATGATGACAGCTGGTGCCGCCAAATGTTTCCTGGAAAGTTAAACTCATTGCTAGATTTTTTTAATGGTGATTAAGATCTAAAAATGAGAATCGATATCAAAAGTATTAATCAAGGATGTTACAAAGAACTTCTAAATGTAAGGAGTTTATTTTAATGTATAGTGGAACCCTGATAAAAGTAGTAGTCCCTTCTCAGTGAACAGAGAAGGGACTACTACTTTTAGTTCATTACATCCATGTATCAAAAGAATAATTGAAATGCATTGAAAGATGCAATAATTTACTGAATATTCAATAAAACTGCATTTATGGCTAATTTTGTACAACTTTGAAAAAAATCTCTTAATCCACTTTTGTTTATAATTCTTAATGAGATTTTCGTTTAGTACTTTCTCCAATTGACAAATATTGTTTGAAAATATATCTGAATCTGATTCTTCTTGAAGAGTGGTAAGTCCCCACATTACTATTATTTTCAATGTCTTTTTGGNAAATGCATTGAAAGATGCAATAATTTACTGAATATTCAATAAAACTGCATTTATGGCTAATTTTGTACAACTTTGAAAAAAATCTCTTAATCCACTTTTGTTTATAATTCTTAATGAGATTTTCGTTTAGTACTTTCTCCAATTGACAAATATTGTTTGAGAATATATCTGAATCTGATTCTTGAAGAGTGGCAAGTCCCCACATTACTATTATTTTCAGTGTCTTCTTGGCCTCTTCAGTACGGAATAGGAACAATTACTTCAGACTTACCACTTTCTTTTCCTTCCTCTTCATCTTCCTCCATTTTTTTTCTTCTGGGGCAATCACCGATCACAAAATTTATTCATCTGTAAGAACTCCTTCTGTAGCATGATTGTTGTCAAAGCTGCAAATGTAACTGAATACAAAAGAGTGAAGAATTTTAGGTTAATGAGGAATATGATTTATCAGTTATGTTAATATCAGTAACTGATATAGTACTGTATTTCCTAGTAAACAACAGATCTTTTCTAAGAAAAGGAGTAGATTTACCAGGTGTTTTTGAGTTCACTGGAGGCAGTTTACTGTAATTGAGTTTCCATTATAACCATATTCAGTATATCCAATGAAAAATGCATTAAGAGCATAGCAGATTTGCCTGGACTGGACTGTCTGGTTCAATAAAACCAAGGTTAAATTATATCTGAGTTTTGTTCCACTGTATTTTAAAAAATGACTATTTGTATTGATTTAATAGGCTGTTTTATCAAATGTGTGCATTGTGATATATCAGAATTTTGTTTGCTTAGGAGCATTTAATGGTTGAGTGCTTGTAATTGTTGTCATTTAAATGAAACTTTTTATGATTTTAAACTAAAACCTGTTCACATCAAGTGAAAGTTATATAGGCAAGGTCATGCTGTATAAAGTATATTAAAGAATATGCAAAATATTAAACAAAATTAAATATTATAAGGCATTTATCTTAATTATCAAAATAAAAGTAAAAAGCAAAGAATAATACTAAATTTTAAATGGTGATAATGAAAATATTACATTTGATATAGTATATGCTTTTTGATTGCTAAAATGTGTTTTTCTGATATGCAGGGATTATGAGTTTAGGTTTTCAATCTTTTCTTTCAGCATTTTTAAAAATTACTTAAAATTAACTCGGTTAATTTTAAATAATTGATTGGAGCGCTATCACTTTGGACAAAATTTTAATAAATAATTAACTATGCTGTCCTTAATATAGTCTAAAATTAATCCAGAGATTTAAATTTACATTTGGTACTGTAATTGCTAAAACTTATGTTAATAATAATTATTTAAATTAAGTACTGAATGAAGGGAAATGTTATAAAAATTTATTGATTTTTCCAATAAATCTGACGTTAATTATTTAAAGATGAATATGTACAGTACATTATGATTTATTTTGATTATTTTTAATTATTATGCAATTCAATAATTTTAGCAGTAGTTATTATATATCAGTAACAATAAATAAATTAAATCTTTTTGGTGATACGCAATCATCTAACCAGGAATTAAGCAAATAGATAGCCCATTTTGTTCATAAAGGAAGTAGAAATTATTATAAGTATGTTACGACATAATTTTATAGAAGTAAGTGGACGACATGTTCATATTGCAGACAAATGATTAAAAAATTCAACACTTTAGATGAGATAAACTCAAGTGAGGAAAGTTTGAAGCTTAAATTGGAGCAACTGAGTACAACACATACATTTCTTAGACATAGATATCTTGTTGTATGATGGTTATTTGAACACAAGTGTTTACATTAAACCCACTCATGACCCTTTGTATATTCCATCTTTATCAAATAACCCCTGTGGTTATAAACTTTTGGCTTTCAGAGCTCTAATTAGAAGGGCTTTCATTTAGTGCTCCAATGTGTATGACAGGTTACAGGAACTGGATAGAATTAGTAGCATTGCTGTAACATTGGGATATGGAGCCAACATTATTGAAAGATTGATAAGTGCTTATACCAAACCTAAAAAGGTGACAAGTAACCTTGATAAAAAAAACCGACAAACTGACTAAGTTCACATATAATAAGAACATGGCTTGTATTATGAAGGAAGTAGTGAGTTACAAAACAACATGGTTACTGTACAAAAGAGCATCGATGGTATATAACCTTTTGAGAAATGACAAGGATAGGATTAAGGATGAGGAACAATTGGGGATATACAGAATACTGTATAAGAATGACCAGTTAGGATTGAACAATGAATACATAGGGGGTCACCAACAGGAACCTTAAAGTATGGCTTAAGCAGCATGATTACAATATGAGAAAAGGACAATGTTGTACAGCTTTATCCAGAATAACGTGATCCAAAGGTTGTTCAATGTGAGGAAGTTAAAGTCATAAAACCAGTGCACTCACTGACATTAGCAATGAGTTTGGAAAAGGTGGAGATATATAGAAGTAGCCTTTCAGGGAAATGCTTGAACTATAATAGTAATTTTTATCTTTGTAAAAATTACTATTTTTCTAAGAGATTACTGTTGACCCTCAGTTTTACAGATCATGCTATAATGGTTTTTAGAATAAAAAGATTAAACTTGCCTGTTTGAAGGTGTCTGTTGGAAGGAAAATGCAATATTTGAGAATACCAGACTATGACTATTAGACTGTTAGTATGTGTAGAATATTGGTTATGTAGCTTGATGGTAGCTAATGTTTAATACTGACTTGAAAATGTATTATTTATTTCTGCTATATTTAAATAAACTGTTTGTGTCACATGTATCAAAGTTATTTTTTAGCTGATTATGATATCTTGGGATATAGTCTGCATTACTTGGCTGTTGCACTCTTTGTTAATCCATTATGTCAATAGTGTTGCAATAGTATTTGTGAAATCAGATGTTTTGTTTATTATCTTTAATATATATTATGATTCTATATTTCCTTTTAGCATAAACTCATTCAACTTGTCATTAATTTGCAAATCAGATTGCCAACATTATTGAAATTATATTCAGTTGCTTATCATTATACTGTACCCTTAAACATATGCAATAATTTTATTTTATTTTATTAATATTAATATATTAATCTAATGTATGTAAAATGTGATGTTAAAACTTGTGTTTTGTTTTTCTTAGACTTACAGAAAGCTCAGGATATATTACTGATGGAGTTGGAAACTATACTGTCGAAATGCAATGTACATGGCTTATTGAAAGTAATAAACCAAATAGTACTATCAGATTACAAATAATTAATTTAAAAACAGAATGTAATTGGGACCATCTCTACATCTTTGATGGAGGTTCTGTGTTTTCTCCACTTTTAGCAGCTTATAGGTAAGATACATTAATTACCTTTGTAGCTAATGAAGTAATTACTTAACTATTTAAATATTTAAACAGAAATTTGTTTTATTCAAGAATTACTGAGTTTTAAGTTGTGTAATTTTTTATTTTTTAAGACATACAAATTCATAATTGAAGTAACGATATGGAAATTGTGTTACAGTGCATTTGTTAATAATAAAATAAATTTTTAATTTTATGAACATTCTTAATTTAAAAGTTAAAAACTAATTTAACTTTTCAAATATTAAGTAATGAAGATAGTTAAGAAGTTGAAAGTAAAACAAAACAATCCTTTTAGTTTTTGTATTAAACCACAAATCACCATACATTTTTTATGAGACTATAAAATAATACATATAACTGAGTTTGTGTTTTGGTTTTATTGCGTGTTGTGTCCCTTCATACTTCTTTGAGTGCTATCAAATAATGTTTGCTAGGTGATGAACAATATTGCATGATGTATTATTAATGCACTCTCCTTTTACGGTTGCCTGAAATATTTCCAATGTTTGCAGTTTGTACTCCTCGAATACTCATCTTATGAGTTTTGCCTCATTAAAAGACAAATATTCAAGGAACACAGGAAAAACTCATTTTAAAAAATATCTAGTATTTTAAGGCATTTAAAAAAATACAAATAATAAAGACTTATACAAATAAAAAGATTCTTGTAGTCTTGTCATCCTTTTGACAATCACAGGAAACATGATTCACATTGGCCTAGTTGATTTTTTCTTATAGGCTACTTCCTCACCTATAGTTATGTAAATTGAATAAAAGTTATGTGACTTTGGATATTTTTCATAAAATTTCATTAAAGAAATTTTTGTTTAAAATATCCAACTATTAAATTATAATATACAACTTGCCATTTTTGGCAAGTTGTAATATTATAATTTAATAGCATGCAGTTTTATTGAGTAGAGTAATATTAAATAAAAATGCAATAAAGAAACAAACGCTGTCATCTGTTTTAGTAATAATAAATAATAAGAGAATGAAACAAGATATTTTCATGATGTCTATCTCTAAGATATTGTGACTTACAAGGTTTATCTCAATTAGTTTTTGCATCATTCATCAAGCAGCCAGATATGGAGTGATTTCTTTACCATTAATTTATATTATTACATTTTATATGTTTTTTTGTTTCACAAAGAATTTATTGGGTTTTCTAAAGTATACAGTGATACCCCAAACTTACGCGATAGGTGGAACTGGGCGATAACCACGTAAGTCAGGGTATAATTTGTGTAAAACCCAAGTCGGATGTATGTAAGCTAATAAATGTTCTCGTTAATCTTATCTTGTCTTTTGATTCGTTCACGGTTAGAAGAAATCACCACATAGAGTCTCTCAAGTCTCCGTAGATATAACCAACACAGAAATAAATAACACAAAATAAATTGTGGCTGTGTCGATTCCACGCGACATGTCTGAACATGTAAGCCGAACAATAGTGTGGGGGATTGAGTAATCGAGAGTTGCTTAGTGCTCAAACAAAAGACGAATCGACAACATTTGAAAATCGCGTAACTCTGGCTTCACATAAGTTGGGGTAGTGTAAGTCGAGGTATTACTGTATATATATATATATATATATACTTCCTATGCAAACCGAAAGTCACGTTATTTCAATTCAAAAATTTTCCCCTGTAAAGAGTTAGATAGATGACGGTTTGACTGTTGTTAACAGGAAAAGTATGATGTGCAGGTACTACAGTACTAATTTCAGGTGACGAGCATATATTTTAAATGAAATAAATTAAAAATATGATTTAAAATTGCCGCCCGGCATTGTGACCGTGTCACAATAAATAATTGCTCGTTAGTTTTTTAATTGCAACTTTAAGAATTTTGAAAATAAATGGCTTATAAAGAAATAATATCGTTTTTTTTTTTTCGTTTCTGTGTGGGGATGATTTAAATATTTCGTCCACAAAAACTTACGATATTTAACACGAACAAAACTTACTGGTTTTTGGTGTTTCTGCTTAACACGCATACTTTAATTAATATCACGAAATATCGTTAGCATTAAAATCTAATAACTTTCCAAGATTAAAATTACTGCGATTTAAAATGTCTTCACTTGTCGCCTTGTCCAATCACCAGGTACAACTTTTCATTAAATTGTAAATTCGTCAACCCATTCTTTCAAAAGACTTATTTGATTTGTAGATGGAAAAAGGTAAAGTATAAAATGTTTTTAATATTCTGCCAGCGACTACAACGGGTAGAATAGATATGTATTGGTCAAAACCACTTGGCTATTGTAAGTCCATTACACAATAAATGTCACAATGAACATTTTTCATTCAGTGCAATACGGTTGGACATACACGCACTGTATGCTATCCTGCGGCAGACTTTTCTATACGTTCTAAGGCGTCGTAATTGCATAGGGCACGAACTTCGGCGACAGAAAAAAACAAAAGGTCTCACCGAGATTCGAACTCGGATCGCTGGATTCAAAGTCCAGAGTGCTTACCGTTACAC